GGGGGGGGGGGGGGGGGGGGGGGGGGGGGGGGGGGGGGTGGGAGGGTGGAGGGGAGGATGGGGGATGGGGGATGGGGGATGAGGGATGAGGGAGAGCAGTTGTGACGAGCAGACTGGGAGAGTGGGAGAATGGAGAATGACAAGGAGAGTGGGATGGAATGAAGAGGAGGACAAGTGAAGAGTGAGACGAGTGAGGAGGAGGAGGAGGAGATGCCGTTGCCGGTGCGGGGAATGCTCTGTTTGGATTGGTCCACCCTGTGTAATCAACACTCTTAATAGCTGTGCTACTCTAGCCGTCTGACGGTCAGCCAGCGTCCAGATGCTTGTTGATGGCGGCAAGCTATGCTAGGACAGATGTCGCGAGTTGGAAAGAGAGAGGGAGGAGGAGAACAGCAAGAACTGCACAAGCGAGGAGAGTGTTTGAGTGCGAGGACGCTGCTGGCTGGGCGAGCCGCGTCTCACATCGCACGTTCATTATCCGCTGCCGACGGAACCAAATCCCCCATCTCCTCAGTGTCATTCACATCCATCCTCTCTCGACTTGTTGCATCTCTTCTCTGTACTCTTCTTACGATATCTCTTGCTCATCTACCCTCCTCTCTTCAGTTCGGGATGGTCGCCCTGAACACAATAAACAGGTTGCCTTTTGCCACAACACTCTGACTCTCCTCGCGCCATCCCCACTTCTCCGCCATTGCACGCAGCGACTTGGGTGTCCGCAAGCCCAGCGACGGGTGCACGCCCTTGATGTACTCGGCGTCAAACTTGGCGTCCCCGTCGGACCGGAAGCTACCGTCGTCGTTCAGGTAGGCGCCGTACACGCCTATCCATGCGCCGGGGGCGAGCACGCGTCGGCCCTCGGGCGTCAGCGGCGAGAGGTTGCGGAAGACGTGTTCGGGGAGGCCTTCGGGCGTGCAGTGGACGAGGTTGACTGGTGTGAGCGACAAATCGAGGGGAAGGGGGGGAAAGGTAGCAGGAGTAGAGGTTGGAGAGTTGGAGGGTTGCTTCAAAGTTCAGAGCAATGGCGCGACATGCCGTCGGCCCGTTCTACGCACCCATGATCACACCATCAAAAGGCTCGTTCACAGTCTTGAACAGCGCGTCCCAGTCCTCCTGAATCGCGATATCGAGCTTCTCTGGCGGCGCAATGTTGCCAGGAATGCCCTCCATCGGCGTCTTCCTGTCGTCAGCCCCCCTCCACCCCTTTCAACGCACTCCAGCTCGTCCGCGTCCCGCACCGTGCCCGAGAAATGCACGTGCGGCCACTGCGCCGCGTACCCCCGTATATGCTGGTACGGGAACGATGCGAGCTCGAGCACGTATTTCGCCGGCACGGGGCCGTTGACGAGCGGCTCGAGACACTCGATGACGGTGCCGATGTTGCGCTGCGCCGAGCCCGGCACGGAGATGACGGAGGGGTATGTGATTGTCATGGTGGTGTGGGGGAGTGTGGCCGCGCTCTGCGCCATCTTATATGCTTGCGCCGATGCCAGTTGCCTGCCGGTGGCACGATTGGAATGGGCCGACCGTCGCAAAACTCGGATGGTGCAATCTCGTGTGAGTCTCGGCGTTAGGTTCGACGCGGTTTCGAACGCGCTTGACTACCGATGCGAGCAGAAGCGGAGCTGGGTGCTGTACTCTCGAGAGCAGTGCGGAGTGGTGGGGGATGCAGCCGTGAGCCGATGCCGTTGTCGTCGTCAAGGCCAAGAAGGCCGGATGCGGAATGCTGGGAAACTGACAAGATCGAGCAGACGCCGGGATGCGATCGCGCCACCTTGGGTTGGGAGGAGCAGCGTACCCCGAACGTCAACTGCACGTCATGTATGAGTAAGAAGAGGTACGGGGACCTACCAGGTTAGTATCTTGTTCTGCACGACGACGAGATGGACGATGCGCAAGTGGTACGTGGTGAGCCAAATTGCCCACCATTCGAGTTAGGTTTACCAGTCACCTGAAATCCCCCTCTTCTCTCCACTCCTCTGCAATCTTCAGCCCGCCCAGACCTAAATCTTGCATCGTCTACGGACTACTACGCCTTCGCGAGCACCGCGATGCCCTCAGCATTCACAGGCACGCCTGTCGCCCACGTAAACTTGGCGCGGTCAAGCAGCGCAGCACGGATACCTCCGCGCACGCTCGCCCTCTGTCCCCCCACATCGACTTGGGCGCCGACGAGCTCCGCGAGCGGCGTGTCGGCCTCGATGGCCTCGGCGAGGCGGTCGAACGCGGCGCTCCGCTCGTCGCGGTAGTGGCGGGACGGGAAGACCTCGAGCGCGGCGCACACCACGAGCGCCGAGTTGGCCTTGGACACGCGCCCGCACTGTCAGCGTCAGCGAGCCGAGCCCATGACATACGGAAAGGACATGCGCGCCGAGACGGTGCGTCTTGCCGTAGTGCGCCTTGTCCGCCGCCGCGATGTGTGCTTGCACCACGTCCAAGACCTGTGTTAGCCCGGTCGTGGGAGGCGCACCTCTTCACCGTCGCCGGCCGGGTCGAACAGCGTCACGCGGTCCTCGACGTAGCTGATGTGCACGAGGGCCCAGCGGTCGTCGAGCGCGACGGGGAAGAAGAACTGGCTATCGGTGTACGAGACCTGGTGTCAGACATGGAGGGTGTCTGTGAACGCAGACGCACGTCACGCTGGCCCGCGACGGCGAGCGCCTCGCTCCAGTTGTGACTAAGGTCGTGGTCGCCCTCGCGCGCAAGCCACGCATAGAAGCAGCTCGGGAGGTACGTGTCGTACTTTGTATCGGGGTTGTGGATGGCCTTGACGCCCGCGGCGTACTGCGTGAGCCAGGCGTCGATGGCCGCTTGGTCGCTGAGGTCCGAGAAGGCCGCGAGCGTGGCGGGGAGCGCGCGGCGGCGGCGCGTCGCTTCGGGATACTCCTTCTCCAGGACGGCGTCGAGGGGTCCCACGTCGTCGGTCGTGAAGAGCGGCGCGTACTTGGTGCGCAGGGCATCCTGGGATTAGTTCAGAATGACATGGTGAGTTCAGGAGTGGGATGGCTCACGGGCACAGGGGGGAGGACCTCGCGGATGAGCGTGCCTACGTCGTCTGCCATGGTGGTGAAGATGAAGAGAACAGAACGGCTAGACGTGTCTTGTAGTCTGACCTGGATAGAATGCGAGCGCTGGGACGACGTCCGACGATGTGACGTCGCACCGCGCCACCGCGAGGCGTTCCGATGTATTGTCGCACTCTCTTTGTTTCTGCCCACGCTTCCGGTTCCCACACTTTGTTTGTTGCCCCATTACCCACGCAGCCGTACGGCCTCGCTCGCATGCATCCTTCTGGAACTCTGCACCTCCGTCCCCGTTATCACACGGCGCGCGCTCGACGTGCCTCGGCGATGACGTCAAATCAATCTCACTCAACGCCGGATCCACAGGCAACCTTCCCATCAGACCGTCGACCTCGTCGACATGGTGTGCTGCACATTCTGCCATTCATACCGTTTGGCTCTTCTCTCTACAGCGCCACCAACTTGTCGACACACGCTACAGAGGCTCGATGCTAGGGTTGAACATGAGGCCGCTGAACGGGTCGGGCTTCTGGCGCAGGCCCTTGTCCGCAATGATGTTCTCGCCATTGATGCCCGCCGCCATATCCGACGCGAGGAAGACCGCCGCCTGCGCAATATACTCGGGCGGCGCGACGGCGGACATGACCGCGGGGTCCGCGGCGGCGTGCTGCGCGCGCTCCATCATCGCGGCCATGGCGGCGGGCGACGCGCCGCGCATGTTGTTCTGCCCGATCGCGGTGGCCGTCGGGCCCGGCCCGACGCCATTCACGCGGATGCCCGTGCCCGCCATGCCGAGGTTGGTCGCGGCGGCGCGGACGAGGCCGACGGTCGCGTGCTTCGAAATCGTGTACGCCGGCGCGCCCATGCCGCCGAACGTGGCGGCGAGCGAGGTCTGCGTGAGCTACGCCGATCAAGGGCTTACGGTCACAATGATGCTGCCGCCGGGAGAGGGCTTGGCATCGCTCGGGTTCATCATGCCGCGCGCGGCCCACTGCACCGAGTTGAAGGCGCCGACGACGTTGACGTCGAGCATGCGCGTGAGCGCCTCGGGCGTCGTCGTGTTCAGCACTTCAAAGTCGACGATGCCGGCGTTGGCGAACTGGCGTCAGTCCAGACGATAAGGCACGCACAAACCAGTCCAGACGGCCATGCTCGGCAATGACTTTGCGCACGAGCGCCTCGACTTGCTCCGCCTTCGTGACGTCCGTCTTGACGCCGACGACCTCGCTCTCGTATCCCTCTTGCGCGACCCCGTCCGCGACGGCTTGGAGGTTGCGGTCGACGATGTCGGACGCGTAGATCGCCTTGGCGCCTGCAGCCGCGAAGCAGCGCACAGCGGCGGCGCCAATGCCCGAGCCCGCGCCTGCCGTCAGCATCGCACGGCGCACACGCACCAGTGATCACGCCGACGGTGCCGGCGAGCAGCGAGGTCTTGAGGAGAGGGAGGGGGGCGGCCATGGTGAGTGGGGAAGAGGCTGGCGTACGAGCATGCCACGCTTATGAGGGCAAGCGAGGGTTGGGCGATCAAGCGCCACACGTGCCCCAGAGCACAGGTACCCTGTCGGCCGCCGGGCGCCACCGCTTCGACCTTTGTTCCACGCGCCAAGCCGCTGTTCTGCTTGACTGGCAGGGAGGGTCCAAGATGCTGGGCGCGGATTGGGGGTGCTGCAGGTGCGGGATGTTGAGTTGCAGGACTGAGTCGGGGGAGGAAAGCAGAGGATGAGAAGAGGAGAGAGGGCAGAATGCCGACGGATAAGATAGGCGTGGGAAAGTCGCCGAGGGTGCGACTCCCATGTCGGCTGCGACGCATTCCATCTCGCCAGCTGCCCCCAGCGCCGAATGGCGTAAGAGCCGACACGCTGAGATCTAGGCGCACACGTCGGCTCATGTGAACATGCTTCGCGACGTCTAGATGTCACCCTCATGCCCGGGGTCGTGCACATACGCCCGTGGCAGTCGCATCCAAGTCCAGTGCGCAAGCTCTGAGCGCACCACCGCTCGCGCCCATCAAGCTTGCTCCTACAGCTTATACATACTGCCAACCCCGAGCTCCATCCGCGAGCTCCATCCGCGAGCTCCATCTTTTGAGCCTCTGCCTACTTCTCCTCCTCGCCCGGCCGCCGCGGCCCTGCCCCAGACGAGCCGCGGAAGCCCATGGGCCGGGCAGGCGGCGGCCGTGTGCCGGGCACATCGACCTTGGTAGTCACTTCGGAGGTCTTGACGACGTCGCCTTCGAGGTCATACAGCGCTTGCAGGGCCGCGAGGTGGGGCGGGAGGCGGGTGTGTGTCTTGGCGGCTGGTTCGATGGCCTCGGTTGAGGGTGTGGGCGGTGTGAGCGGTGATGCGGTCGTGGCGGGGGGAGTGAGCTCGGCTGGGGAGTCGGATGCTGTCGCTTCAGATGTGCTTGGCGTGTTCTCGGACGTGGTCTTGGGCGTGATCTCGGGCGTGGTGTAGGGCGTGGCCTCAGACGACGCATGGACAACGTCGGCATGGGCTGAATCATCCACATGCACATCCACTCCGTCGATAGACACGAAAAAGTCGCCTTCGAGATCGAAGAGTTCGTCCTCTGTCCCGCCCGCCATGCCGAGTTTGAAGCCCGCGAGGTCGGCGTCGTCGTCCACAACAGTGGCGCCGTCTTCAGATCCAGCGCTCTCCACGCGCTTGCCGCCCGCGTCCGGCGCATCTACCTTGGCGTCCGCCTTCTCTGCTGCCGCCTGCGCCCCAAACCCAGCCGTAAGGTTCTCGAGGGCCTTATACATCGCGCGCGGAATCCACCGCGCGGCGTCAATCAGCTGCGACATCTCGTCCGCCGAAACAGGCACGACACGGACCGAGCCGTCAAGGAACTGCGCGAGCGTCTCCGCCTGCCCCGCCCCCGCCTGCCCCGCTTCCCCTTCATGCGGGTGCACAGCCCCCACCACGTCCTGGAGGAGCGTGTGTGGCCCGTTGCGTAGGCGCGCCTCCGCTGCGCGCAACATGTCCGCGAGGCGCGCGAAGCCGGGGCCGAACGCGACCTCAGGCAGCGGCGCGCACATGTCCCACGCACACGCGAGCGGCTGGGGCGCGCCGAGCGTCTCCCCCGCGCCGACGTGGGCGAGGGGCACGCCGGCGCGCGCAAAAAGCGGCGCGGCGTCGCCGCCCATATCTGCCGCGACGCGGCGGCCGCCGAGCACGAAGAAGCGGGTGACGGTGCCGCCGACGACGGCGGCGGCGTGGACTGCGCCGCAAGCTTCGTGCGCGACGAGAAGCTGCGCGAGCGTGTGCGCCGCTGCGTCGCGCAGAGCCGTGCGGTACGCCGCGTGCCATTGTGCCGCGAGGGTGCGTGCCGCTGCGGGATCGGTTGCGCGCGCGAGGCCGACGGGCTGCCGTCAGCGCGGTCGGGGGAGACATACCGTGCCATTAGGATAGGAGGGGAGGTCGAGGTCTGCGAGGGTGCGCGCGGCGGCGCGTACCTCCGAGGGCGGGAGCGTGCGTGCGGCGTGCGCGTCCATCCGCGCCTCTAGGTCCAGGATGTCGGGTGCCGCGCGCACGTGTAAGATCCCGTCGAGGTGGAGAGAGGGGTACGCTGCGCGGCCTACGGCCAAGTCGATGCGCTCGATGTCGGGCTGCGCGCCGAGGGCGTGCAGCGGCCATGTGGCGCGCGCGCGCGCCAGAGCCTCGTACGTTGGCGTGTCGCGCGTGCCGGAGATGGACGAGAGACGGAACGGCTTCACGCTCACGCCGTCTGGCGTGGTCGCTTCCAGCGCCGCGAGATCGTGGTCTGCCGCCGACCACACTTTGCGCTGTAGCGGGGCGGAGAGGGCGTGCGCGAGCGCGGTGGAGAGGTCGAGACGGCTCGCGCCGGCGCCGCGGAGCGCCGCCCCCAGCAAGGCTTCAGCGGAGACGGGGGCGCGCGGCGTGTCGGGGCTCCATGGGAGTGGAGTGGAGGGGCGGAGTGTGAAGGGTGAGCGCGAGCGCGAGCGCTCGGGCGCGGGGGTCGGCGCGCGCGCACGCCGTTGTTGCAGGTAGCGTTGGAGCGTGGGATAGCGGCGTAGATTTGGCATGGATGGATCAGTGGACGATGTCAACGAAAGATCGATGGAATGCGGGAGCATGGATCCGACGCGGGCATCGTCCAATCGCCGTTGACACCCAGGCAGTCTAGTGCATACCAAGGCTAGAGGTGCAAGTTACAACACTACAACTACCGCCGAATCGCCAGAACCTTCAGCAAGCGGATACGCCGCTCTTTGCGCTCGACGCGCGCCCCCAGCGCGTCCACCTGTCGGTTGAGATGTGCGATCTGCTCCTTGCTGTCCGCGTATCGCCTGTGCAGCTCCTCATAGTACACCTGCAGGCGGGTGTACTCACGCTCGCGCCGGAGGAGGCGGGCGAGAAGGTCTTCGTCATCGTCCTCCAGCTCGTTCTCCATGAGCGGTGGTGTCTCGGGGGTCGCGGAGCGCGCGTGCTCTCGCGCGTGGGCATACGCGTGCTCTTCATACTCTTCGTCCTCAAGCTCCTCTACGTCGTCGTACGCGTACTCTTGCGCATCCGAGTAGCCGAGGGCGACGCGGAGGGGGCTCGGGGTGATCAGCGTGCCGTCTGATGTGGGGGCGTGGACCGGGCTGGAGTTTAGAAGGGCTGGGCGTGGCGCTAAGACAACTCACCCTGCTTGGGGCGTGGCGGTTGGGTCGCTCGGGGGGACGGACGACTTGGCCTCGTGCGCGCGCTTGCGCTTCTTGCTGAAGTGGGCGGAGAAGGCCTTCATGGGGGTGGTGAGGGGTGTTGGAGGGGTGGAGAGCAAAGGTGAATGGGAGAGGTGAGGAGTGGAGATGATGAGATGATGAGATGTGATGTTGTGGGATGTTTGAGCGATGCGCACCAAGGCCCGTGCGCAAGTCATTTTACAAACAACTAATCTGTCTGTGCGATGCCATGGCGATATGGCGACTTGTTGGCTGCAACTCTGGCTCTTCATCGCTGCTCATACACTTCATCGCCGATGCACTGCTAATACTACAACGCCCTCTCCTTGCCCCGGCTCTTCCCCAACAGCCCCAAGCCCATCATCAGCCCACGCCGCTTCCGATCCCGCTCTTCTGGGTCCATCATAACGCACAGCGCACACCCGACCCCAACAGAAACCGGGAAGAGGCGGGTTTCGCGCGTATGCGGCAACTCGATAAGTCCTGTGACCTGTGGCGCTGCGAACGACACGTCGATGTCGTCGCGGCTGGCTCGCGACGACGCCGTGTCGCGCGACGGCGGCCGAGATTCCGTGAAGACCGACGCGGACGCGCTCCGCACCTCTGAGTCGTGCGCCCACGCGTGAACCTCGCCCGATTGCGTCCGCGCCGAGCCCTGGTACCCCTCACTTGTGGGATGCAGGGACATCTCAACAAACGCGCCTTCGCCCTCGCTGCGGACGGGATATACCCGGACATAGCGGGCGTCGACGTGCGCGACGTACGCCGTAGGTCGGTCTCGCTGGTCGTCGGATGGCAGGCGATACAGGCCGACGAGGCTGCCGCGGGCGACGACCTTGACGGACTTTGGCTGCTCGACGACGCATAGCTTTCTGTCAGTTTGACTCACACGAAGCACTCACTATTCGCCATTCGAGCGTTCTTCCGCACACCCATACCTCGCCGTTCTCTTTCAGAGCAACCACGACGTTGCCTACATCGAAATCGAGTACTCGTCCGGTGTGTTGCTTTCGGCCAGCAGCTGCGGTAGCGCTAACGGCCGCTGTCGCCCATCGCACCCAGTGCATGCCGTCCTCCGCCTTGCTCATCTCTTTGAATGACACATCGGCGCCATGATCCAACGCGGGTAATCGTGACAGACACTCTTCTTCCACCGCAGCGTACTCTGCCGATTCCACATGCCAAGCAGCGACACAGCCATCGGCCGTGAGTGCGGCGCGAAGACCCCGATCAGGTTTCCCGGTCCGCACCTCGCGCGCACCCACCAAATTCGGATGTATACGCTTACATCAGCGCCTTCTCAGCTTTACTAACTTGTTGGGGAGCGAGGTCCACGACAGCATTTATATCGCGGCGGATATACGCGCCGTCAGTGGCACCCACCAGACGCCAGTGAGACGCGCAGTCGCTCGGCTCGCCACCCCAATGGTACTCCTGCGTGCGGTGCGCAGCGCTCCACATCTCGACCTTGCCCGAGAGGACGTATCCCATCGCGCGCGGTGTGAGGCTGCACCCGTCGTCGCCGTGCCGGACATGCGTGATGTTCTGGTTATCGAGGGAGAACTTGCGCATGGCCGTCGGCGGCGCGAGGTCGTGCGTGAGGTCTCGCGCGCGCCGCCGCCCGCCGTCCGCGCACCACAACACGAGGCGCTTGCTGGCGCTGTACTGCGGCGGCGCGGCGCCGGCGGAGGCTGGCCCTAGCGGCGCCGTGTGGGAATATGACGGCGGGGCGTCGTCCATGGGTATGCGAAGGGAAATGGGCGATGATGCAGAGAGGAGATTGACATGGCTGCGCTGCGAAGAGAGTGGAGAGGAGAGCGAGAGCGAGAGAGCGAAGACAAGTGATGGGAGCGTTCGTGGCGGTAGTGTGGAATTTCAGGGCGAGGGCAGGGGCGCTCATCTGCCGGTCATCACCCATCCCTCCCTGCGTCCATCCGGCAATCTCGGCGCGCACAGACCTTGTGTGTGGATGCACATGGCGTTATCCTTCCAGGCACCACAGGCACCTTATCCCTTTATCATGCCAGGCACGCCTCCATCTCGCACGTTGCATGCGGCCACTGCGGTCGACGTTGAACAATACCTACTTGGTGGCAATTGGTGGCTGCGGCGCTGCGGCGCATCGCAAGCGAGACATTGACACCGGCCAGCTCGCGGAGAGTAACGCTGTGCACTCTGGCTTTTGGCGGGGACTCGTGGCCTCGTGTCCTTCGCTCCGACCAAGAGTGCGGAGTGCAGGCGCTACAACTGACGGACTGACGCGTTCGCACTCGTCGCCCAAAAAAACACCTGGACATCGCGCTACCAGTGAATAAAAATCTCTGGCAGCAGGCCCCATATCTCTGGCTGGAAAACGCATTGAAACCCAAACCTCGCCCGAGGCCAGATCAAGAGACATTAGCGCGGTGCCTGGAGTCTGAAAGAGCGCCAACGGTCACAAATAGCGGTCGGGTAAGAACTGGCGGCGTGACGGGGAGCCCGAAGGCACCGATTGTAAGCGTGCGCATGCATCCGAGAGTAGTGCGAGAGTTCGATGGCGCGATTGAGGCCTAGAAACGCGCGTACGCGGGCGTATGATGTGAAGCGCCGAGTGCGACATGTGGATGTCACGTGTAGACACGTGGTCCACGTGGTGGACAGCGGGATCACTTTACTCCGCAGAGTGGAGGTGGAGGTGGTCCAAATGACGGATGGTTGAGTCAACCAGCGATCCCATCACCCAACGTGGATCATTGTCCACCTTCCTCCCGGCTGTCCCACCATCCTCCTCTTGTCCATTTCTCTTTCTCTCTTCTCTTCATCTCTTCATCTCTTCATGTCTCCATCCTCATCCTCCTCATCCGCGCCACCAACAATGCTCTCGTCACCACCATCCCCTCCCCCACCACCGTTGTCCTCCTCCTCCTACATCACCCCTACATCCTCTCCATCAACAGACGTCGCGCGCCGTCTCTCTCGCCGGGCCAAGCGACTGCGTCCTCAAGCTGAGGGTCAGATTATCGCCGACCACCTCACTTCCGCCTTCTCGGACACATCAGTCTTCGCCGCCCTCGCTCAACGCGGATCACCCCTGCCACCCTCGCTGGCCGCCGCTCACGAAGAGCGCATTGCCGCTGTTGGCGATTGCACCTCCTCGGCCGTGCCAATTCCATCCTTTTGGAAGATCAAGATTGCACGCACTCTCACATCCCTCCTAGCCGCGCACGAGAGTCACCGCACTTATCTCGCTTGGATAGCCTTCGGTCCCGCTGTCGCCCGAGCGGTGCTCCTCGATTCAGAAACAATCGCTCTGGAAGCAGATGTCGCTTTTCTGTCTACCAATCCCCGCTCACTCCCCATCAGTGACTTGTTCACAAAGGACGCGCCTCATTTCCCGGCAGACCAGCCGCGCCTCATCTCTTTCCTTGCAACGGCACTCGAGCTCCTCTCCTCTCCTATGCTTCCTCCGCTGCATCCATCAGCTATTGACATTTTTCTCTCCCCGCCTCGCCATGCCGTGTTCAACCCCCCACCTCTTCGGCCTCGCCGTCGCATGCGCACACCACCACCCTACCGCCCTCCGCGTATGAACATTGTCGAACTCAGCACCCCACCGCGCTCTACCTCGCCGCAGAAACGCCGTTCCCCTGCCGGCGGCGGAAGTCCTCCGAAGCGTCCCGCCATTGATGTGAACGCCTGGCGTGATGGCAAGAGTGGTGCTGCACTCTTCGACTTCGACCCCGACCTTTGTGTTTACGAGCGCTGCGGTTCCCCAACCGAACTCGACACGCCTCCTCCCTCCGAAGGCGCAGCGGCGGCCAAACCTCAGCGCCCTTCCCCCCCTCCTCCCCCCAAGCTGACCTTCAAGGGGAATGCAACCTTGCGCCCCGCGCGGTCCGCATTGAAGGCCGAGGAGACTGTGCGCCCTGGACGATTTGGCTTGCAGGCCAATGAGACCATCCGCCCGGGCACTTTGGGCTTGAAGCCAGCCTGGGAGGGACCAGCCCGTGCGTCGACCATGCTCCCAGCGAGCCAGGGAAACGACAATATTGCGGCCCTCACGAGTCTCAGTCTGCAGCCGGCTGGGGACATCTCTATCAGCAAAATGGAGGGGTTGCCCTCAACTGAAAGTCCCGAAATCCCGCCTGTCCCGATCGACTCGGACGACAGCAATCAGCCCAGCTCTGGTTGCGCTGGGTTGAAAGTGGAGGACTACCTCGCCGTCCTCGTTGAACGAAAAGTTCGAGTTGTGCTCGTATCGAGTATCGAGATGGACCTTGCGGTCGGGGCTATCCGGTCCGCAGAGTGATAAAAGTGCCCGTAGCTAGAGGGTGCTTTGTCCGTGGGTATATACTTCATCATTTGTTGCCACCAGTACAGCCATCATAGACTCCACCTTCGCCTACATACTGGCGTTATAGTTTGTTGTATTCCACGGCATGTTCAATTATTCTCGTGTGTTGAATGGAGTCAAACCGCCATCCCACTGTGTTAGCTTACAGGGCAGAGTGATGTCGAGCAATGCGAAACTAATTACAGTAGAACAGACCACTTTGGAAAATGTCTTTCAACGAACACCCACACACTTCAGCTTTACAACCCACTTTGCACAAATGCAATGCTTAATGTCATTGAAAATATAGGCCTATGGTACAATCTAAGAGCCATTCACCCCCACAACCCGCTTAGTTCTTCACGCGACGGAAGACGTTGCGCACCAGCCCGTCAGAGCTAATCTCCTTCTGGCGCACAAGCGTGTACCCGCCGACGCGGGGGAGAACGTGAGCCCAGAGGAGCCAGTAGACGAAGCCGATGCCGAAGACGGCCCAGCCGGCGACAGCGTGGGTCCAGTACGGGAGGGAGGTGTACGGCTCGCCGCCGGCCGGGGGCGGGGTGAGGGGGACGACGAAGAGGAAGACGTTTGCTGCGCCGAAGAACGCTGCGGCGGCAACGGCGCCCCACCCGGGCTTCTTCCAGTCCGGGTACGGCCGGAACTGGAGGTAGACGATGCCGAAGGCGATGACGGCGTTGATGACGGAGAGGGGGTACGAGATGGTGTTGATGACGAAGTTGTACGCGTCGCCGGGGGGCAGGGCGAAGATGGTGATGAGACAGATGGCCCAGTGGAGGCCGAGACCGGCGAGCGGGGCGCCGAAGGGCTTGTTCGACGCCCACAGCTTGGAGAGGGGGAGGATGCCTTCGCGGCCGAGCTCTTGGTTCACGCGGCCCTGCGAGAAGATGACGGAGAGGACGTTGCCGAGGGCGCTGAGCGCGACGAAGACGTCGAGCGCGCGCGCGGCTTTGCGGCCGTACACGTTCGTGAAGAGGAGCGAGGCGACGAGCGTGCCGCTGCTCGTGATCTCCTCCTTGGACGCGGCGGCGAAGTAGGCAATGTTCGCGAGGATGTAGAGCACCGTGACGAGGCCGATGGCGAAGGGGCCCGCGATGCGCAGCGTGCGCTTCGGGTCCTTCATCTCGCTGAGCGAGTACGACGCGTTCGAGTATCCCACAAACGCCCACACGACATTGTACAGCGAGAGGCAGAACGAGCTCGCGCTCGCCGTCGTGCCCTCGAACGCGTTGCTAAAGTTGTTCGGCTTCGGGACCTTGAGGTGTCCGCCGAGCGCGACGAACCCGGTGATCACCACCACGAGGAGGATGAGGATCTTGAGTGTGCCGAGCACGTTCTGGAGGTACAGGCCCCAGCGGAGGCGCGTGCCGTGCAGCAGGAAGCAGAAGGTGATGCCGGCGAAGCCGATCAGGCGCCGCGTCCACTGTCCCGGCGCATCTTGGTTCGCCGCGCGCAAGATGTACTCGCCAAACACGATCGAGTTGCCCGACGCCCAGCCCAGCAGGACACCGTTTGCAGCGTACGCGCTCGTTGCGAGGAACTGCGGCCGCCGAAGCAAGTACTCGAGGTAGTTCTTCTCGCCGCCGTTGCGCGGGATCGCCGTGCCCCACACAATGTACACCCACATGCCGGCCGACGCGATGATCGCGCCCACGACCCACATGATCATGCTCATGCCGACGCTCCCGCTCAAACTAAGGATGGTGGAGGGTGTGGCGAAGACGCTGATGTCAGCCACTCTTCTTCGTTCTTACTCACCCAGTACCAATCATGCGGTTGAAGATGATGAACACGGCCGAAATCAGCCCAATCTGCCGCCGCCCCGGGACCTCCTCCGAGTGCAAGCTGTCGACATCGTTGTCCTTGTCCGAGCCCGCGGGCGTGCCCACCACGGTCGCGCCGTAGAATCTTGTCTCTGCGTCTTTGCCCATGTCGAGTGAGTGTGAGTAGAGGTGAGATGGGAGTTGCACGACACAGCGCATCTTTTGTACAGTACCCCAGCGATGACGAGCTCGCTGCGCAGAATCGCAGAATCGCAGAATCGCGCAAATGACACAACACGCCAAGAGCAGGCGTGCCCATGGCGTGATTGGGGTCAGTCACTCTCCACCTGAAATAGCCCGCCGGGGCTGTCAGGCTCGTCTGGTCGTCTGGTCGTCTGCCTCGTCTCATCTCGTGGGGGCAAGCTACGGGATCTGCGATTCTGCGTTGCGCCGATCGCGCCGACCATCCCCCGTCCACCGGTGTTCGCTCGCTGTACGCGCCGAGCCTCGATTCCAGCAGCAGAAAGCCGTCCTCGAGATAAAAAAGTATCCCCGGGCAGGTACGATCGCCACCTTAGACCCGTTCACGTGTCTCACGTGCCGAAATCTCCGTTTCCCAAAGTCGCCGGCATGGCGACATGTCGCCGGCCGGAGCCTGCCAGCGCACATGGACCATGGCATATTGCTGATGCAAGTCGTGCGGTGGTTGGTCGTGTGCCCGGACCGAGCAGTGCCGATGACGCGATGATGCGGTGCGTCTTGGAAGGAGTGGAGCATGGAGCTGCGCTGATGACAATATGAGAAAATAACAAAAAACTGCGGCTGATTACCGCGTGGTTGAGGAACGCCATGATCGACAGGGTCTTGCGACTTTTCGGTGGTTCCGTGGCCAGAAGACTGGTGGGCAGCCGGTTCGACATATGATTAATTGCATTCCAGTGGCGAGTGCTTGCATGACAGAGACTGACTGGGACTTGACAATGTGCTACATTCCGCAAGTTGGCCATTCTGGTCTTGTGACCACTCGTGGCTGGAATCACGTTTGTGGTGATAAGCAGTGCTGGCTCCTGCCGCGCAGACTTTACTCGGACCCAGAGTGTCTCGGGTGCAATTGATCTTGAACCTGCTGTGGGGCCTGTGAAAGAAACAGGTATGCCTAGTGCGTCCCGTTTACTCTCATTGCATTTGTTTGCTTGCACCTCACTCGTTCGTTCTGTTTGAGAAGTGTTGCCTCGCTCAGCAGTTGGTCGATGTAGTGCTTTGTCGCGTGAGGTGGTACAGCGAAGCTGGCCACATCTCACATCAACATGACCAAGTGCGATCAGTTGGATTCCACTGGAATGCAAGCGAAAACGAGCACGTCCAAAGCGTGGATTGCGCTTACATCACCGGGGCCCTCCTAAGCTAGACGTTGGGAGCCTGACGCGAGCAGTGCCGTCAGCCTGCAAGCGTTTCTGGAGCGATTCTTGATTGTGGTAGGTAATGATGCGTCATATATGGATATGAGACGTCCAGCATGTATTCCCACACTTAACGGAGCAAGTCAAATGGTGGGCCATTTGTTAATCACGCAGGTTTGTGGGTGGGCCTTCAACTGAACCTTGAGGCGTGGAGTGGCGTGGGCTGGACTCGACCAGGGCCAGGGACCGCTTGGCACGCCAACGACAGCCAAGCGCTCCTGCTGTCCTGTGAGCTGGATTTGTGCATGATGCGGGCGAGAACTTGGGTGGAGCGGATTGACACGGTTCAGCGTATAGCGCTCCATTCGTTGCATGCCACAAGTGACAACCCCTTGTGGCATGGTCAATAGGTGACGTCGCGGCAATGTCGGGGCACCCGCAGCGGCTCGGCTCGAGGCTACGCCGAGGCTGGGCGGACGGTGGGAAACAGGTACATGGCCAAATGAGCGCCGACGCCGAGGCTTGGCCATCGAGGCCTCGCGTACCGTCGCGTGCCGTCAGTGGGTCAAGCGCAGGCGTAGGCGCAGGTAGAGCGGAAGGGTGACATGCGAAAAGTGTCGCACTCGGTATCTGGTCGGCTGAGCGACTCGGCGGCTGGGCTCTAGGCGTGGCGGCATGGGCGGGAGAGGCGATGGTTGCCCGCAAAACCGCACTAGGCCGCACGACGAGGCAGGCACGTTGGCTTGGCACGCTCCATCCCTTCCGCGCCGGGCAAGCTGGGCAGGTGAGTCCACGCACGCCCAGCGCCCAGCGCCCAGCCCAGCGCCCGGCGGCGCCCTCCAGCGCGCCCAGCCTGACCGAGTGCTTGCTTGGATGCTTGGATCTCTCGGCGCGGACGTGCGTATCCCGCTTGTATCGGTCATGTCTCATGTTGCGAGGATGAGAAAGAAGTCGGAATTGGCGCAGGCTATAAAAGCCACGTGGCGAGCGCCAAGTGCTGCGCATCTTGCTCTTTGCGTGTTCTCGTGCGCCGAATCCCGCCTACATTGGCAGATTGTCTTGGCGCACTTTAGTGCATGCTACTATGTTGTCGCAGCTCGATCCCAAGCATGCATTGGCAAGTGTTTGACCTGCAGCGGTGCATTCATGCTTTGGTGGGGTGGAGGATTGGGCCAGGGCGTGCGGGGCCGCCGAGGGAGACAAGAAGTCTTGGAGGCTGGGCAAAGCTTGGCACTACCAAAGACCTCCCCCTCCCTCCCGACCTCGTCTCCTCCCTCATCAACCTCGTCCATCTCAACTCTTCTCAACTCTCTCTCTCCCTGTCTCTCGCTCTTTCATCCTCTCGCTCTCCCGTGGCATCTACCCAACTCACCCACCTCCCTCCCAGTCGTGTACACCGCTCCCGGGCCCGCAAAATCCGGCCCCTCATCCCCCATCACCGCCAGGAGAGGCTTGGCGCCGCGCCGCGCCCCCATTCATAAGCCGTCTCCCACACCCGACTCCAACACTTCGTTCCACCCACACGATTCCCGCCATGCGCGCGCGACCTCCAAGCACCCCCGCGGCCTTTGCGCTCGCTCTTGCACTCCAGTTTGCGGCCGCCCAGCCCGTGCCTGCCAGTGTCGACGTCGCCTCGCTCTACACCGTCGTCGACGAGGAAACGGGCGAGACCCGCGAGAAGGGCCTGTCTAGCGGCATCATCGCCGGTGTAGTCGTGAGTCTGCGCGTCTGATCTCGTGTTTGCTCGCACGCTTTCCGCACGCGAGCGCTACGCTGCCCCTGTTTCCGCATCCGCGCACCTTTGCATCTACCTCTGCGGCAGGGCGCGTGTGCTTTCTACATTCCCCCAGCCGGCGCTCTAGCTTCCTTGCCACTGATATGGCCAATGCCTCGCAGCATGCTAACCGCCAGGTAGGTGCCGTGCTCGGCTTCTCCATCCTCTTCGGCCTCCTGTGGTGCTGGCTCGACCGGCAGGCCGCGGACCGCCGCCTGCCCGACCACCCCCCGCGCCGACTGTGGCCATGGGCCGCGCCGCCGCCGCCGCTGATGCACGCGGCGCCACGCACACGCTCCGCGCCGCTAGCCAGCGCGGGCCCGCGCACCTCGTCGACATCCACGACGAACACGACCTCGACAGGCAGCCGCACGGTCATCGGCTCCGTGTCGTCCAACAAGCCGCACTGCCCGCCGTCACCGCCACCGCGCGCGTCCCGCTCCCGCGACCCGCGCGACCGTGACGACGACGCGCGCCGCTCAGACGACAGCCTCCCGCAGTACATCCAGGTGCACCCGCCGCCGAAGGCTGTGCTTGTCGGCCCGGACCACGGGCGGATCGGCGAGTGGTGCGCCAAGGCCGCGGCCAGGATTGAGGGGCATCCCGTGACGCGCATCAAGAGCTGGGAGAAGGGCGACCCCGAGAAGCGGCTTCCCGACCCGTTCACGGCGTAGGCGTAATTTAGAGATGGTGCGGGCGCGGGTCGATGTACCTTGGCTACTTACTGTTGTATGCATGTGCACTAGTGTTGCGCGAGACGTGGAAGAGGGGGAGATTGGAGGTGAGAGATAAAAGTTGGAAGCGCAGTCACATAAGGGGGCGAAATTGGTCTACGACTGAATTCGGCAAGTTCGCCGATTGACCTCTAAAGTCGCCTTGGCCGACGACGCCTGCGACGTTGTCCAAAACATGCAACTCGAGCGACGCAGGCGCAGCGGAGCATAGATCTCTGGACGCCAAGCACACCGACAAGCGTCATCTATCATCATCCATGTTGCCCGCTGACCGCCGCCCTCGGCGTCACCATCGCTGCCCACCGCCTGTGCCCGGCAGAGGCCAGTGCGAGTTGAGCGTGACAGTCATCCGCCTCGCCGGACGTACTGCGTGCAGAGTATCCGCCACAATCCCCAGACGCCACAAAGAAGCGACGATGCGCGGATCGCGGATATGCTTGTCCGTTTGAGGCAGTCTGCTTTTGCCACTCTCGATACTTGATGTTACAAGCAAGCAGTTGCGCGCACCGTTGCAAGCGAGAGATCGCTCAACGTAAATGCTGCAGCTGGACTTGAATTAAATACTCTGGAGGCACAGGCACCTGACGTCACCGGTAATGTCGCATCCCACTTTCAACATACCCCGTGATCAGTATCTCCCCATCCGCTCTTCCACCTCGCCCAAGCAGCGTCGGAACGCCCCACAGTAGCGAGGCATGCTACGATTCTGGGCTCCAGACTTGCTCGCCCTCCGCTCTCGCACTGTACCCAGCTGGCTCCCGATAAGCGGCGGAATGCCTCGAGCAAGCGGCTCTGGTGTGTGCGTCACCGACGCAGAAGTCACCAGACGCCCCGGAAGCCAAGCCCATTCTGCTTTTTGTCAGCGTCACCTGCTCACCCGCCCTCTTATACTTATCCCAATCCCGGGCTCCAGTTGACATTTCCATTTCCCCATCCATCCACCGTTGGCTTCAGCGATGCTTGTCGTCGGCGTCCTCCTCTTCGGCCTCGCGGCGGCGCAGGTGCCCCCGATCACCCCCACCCTCTTCTTCAACCTCACCATCAACCCGCAGGACGGATTCCCCTCCTTCTCTACCGGCGAGTGGGACCTCATGAACATGACGACGGGGTGGGCGGCGCGCGCGCTCATAAACGGCCGCATGGGCCAGGCGCAGATGTGGATGAACGGGCCCTTCTGCACCGCCGTCTCCATGCAGGGCGAGTACAGCACGCCCGAGCTACAGTGGAACGAGAGCACGCCTGTCCCCGTCCGCCTCGTCCTCGACACCACGGCGACGGTGAACGCCCAATCGGGCGGAGGGGACGTGCGCCTCGCCGCCGAAGGCGACTGGCACTACTGCGCGCCACGCGTCGACGTCGACGGCGTCGATTTCTGGCTGTACAACATGACGATCACGACCGGCATGGTCGCCGCGGCGTAAGTCCATCACCGGCCAACGGCTAATGGCAGGTCCGACATTCTCCTCGTCCCCGGCCGCAGCCAGTCGATCCTCGACGACCATAACAGCATCAACGACTTTTTCCACGTCACGAGCCCCGACGCATACGTCAACTGGGTACGGCAAGCGGGCGCGAGCGTGCGCTTCGACACGACGCTGCACCCCGTCGTCGTCGTCTTCGACATGCCATACTCGACTGGCTTCTTCAGACTGTACGGCAGCGTCGGGCCGGACCACTCGGACCTCGAGATCCGGGTCGACCCCCCGCTGCCCGGCGTGCCTGCCGGCGGGCTCGTCGCCGTCAACCCGAACCGCACGAGAGAGGCGAACGAGCGTCTCCTCTTCGCGGCGCCGGTCGACCCGCACACGCGATACACTGTCACCATCCCGCTGCGGAGGGGACAGGAGCAGGCGCTAACCAAGGTCGACTTCCTCTCAGGATTGGGGTGGGTGTGGAGATGGACGTGCTGACGCTAGCGTGGGCAACTACTGGCCCGAGGAACCGGCCGTCACGGACGGCCTCACGCCGCAGACTTCGATCGGTGGCCGCGGCCTTAGTGGTGGTGCGATCGCCGGCATAGTGGTGAGTGGTGTTTGCTGGGAATAGCCCTCTGTGTCTCTTGTCTCTTGTAGTGTCCTCCATCCTCCGTCATCCATATTCTTCGTCCTCGGTAATTCTCCATTCCTCACTCCCTCTCTCTTCCAATCTCTTCATCCCGCTCCTGTTCCGGTCTGTTCCGTGTACGCGGGCTCCAGCCTCCGGCCTCCGCTTGCCCAGCTCCAGACCCTCGCTGACGCCAGATCGGCGCCCTCGCGGCCGTGACCCTCCTCCTCGCCGCAGCATTCATCTACCGCGCACGCCGCAAGACGCGCCGCGACACCCAGCGCTGGAGCGACGTCAAGCTCCGCCGCATGTCTCTCTCCCCGCAAGTCTCGCCGCCGCGTGACGTCAAGACGCCCCTCCCCCCGTCTCCCATATCGCCCGTCAGCCCGCCCCAGCGTGCTCACCACTACCCGCCCAGCGCCGAAGACCTGCACGCCGAGCCGCGCACGCCGTGGCCGTGGACCGAGCGGCCGGGCCAGGCCCGTGTGTGAGCGCTGGAAGCGGGCGAGGCGAGCTGCACCCAGTGCAAAAGTACCAGAGTTGTTCGACACCGACATATAGCCCATTTGACCTTGTCCATGTTTAATCGTTGTAAACGTATATGCAGCTATAGTTCGCTTGGATGGGTGGTGCGAGTGGCGAGGGCATGCGACGATAGCAGCAAGATCAGACAGGCGCCACAGTCCACATGCTTCATGCTCTGTTGATCACGAGACGACCCCCCCCCCGTGCGAGGCACCCCATCCGCAGGCACTCTAACAAGGTTGCTGACCACATCTGCTGATCCGCAATTTGCCACCCATATCAGCAAGTGACATCATGCAGCCTGCACCGTCTCAAACAGGCAGCCCAAGTGTCCCGGACGAGGACAATGTCTCTCCGCGCACCGCCTGCAGATCCTGCAGGCACCCGCTCGGAGCATCGGCGCTGCGGCCCTCGGCGACGCCGCTCGGTTGCCTCGGCTTCGCCGCTCGGGATCAGCATACCCGACCATTCCTCGAGTCACATGGCTAGCTCGCCACCATTCATCTGCACAGCATGCCCTATTCACAAACATTCGACCTCGCTCGCTGCGTCGCCGCCAAGACGCAGAGCACGTTCCAATCCGCCCGTCTCTTATCGGATCGCCAGGGGCAGAGGCAGTGCGCCGAGAAGCCCCAGGCACGGCCCTGTAATTGCACACTCTTGCGAGCATGCTTGCTAGTGCTTACTCCGACTCGCACGGATATGCATCTTCAGCGTGGCATACGAGCCCGCTCGCGATGAACGTGCCCTGCGTTTGCGGCGGTGCGCGGTGCTGTCCACGCCCGACGAACGTGTGCACTTCCGCGCCATCCGGGGCCGCGGGCGCGCGATTATTATCGACAGCGCCAAGTTGACGCTCAACAGGCACGCCCCGCACGACCAGCCTCGTGCCAAGGTGTGCCGCGCAACGCCGTCACCATGGACACTAAGCAAAGAAGCGGTGGCAAGAATGGAGTGTGGCGGCTCGTGCTGGCGCCCAGTGTGGCGTGCACGACATGCGCGGCGGTGCAGGGATCGACATATAAGGCGGCCACTTGCCTCGTCATGTTCACCACCAACTCGACATCATGGCCCACCCTCAGTCCCGCACGCCCCCGTCGCGCTATAGCGAGAGCGACGGCGCCACCGTCGTTAACGACCATGTCTACCTCCGCCCCAGCCCGGCTGCGGGCGGCAGCAAGCCCCTCACCGTCTTCAAGGACGCACCCAAGGCGCCGCCCGTGCCGCTTGAGAACGCGGACTCGCTTCCCTTCGTCGACGAGAAGGCCTACCTCGACATCAAGCGGTGAGTCGGCCTTTCACGTGAATTGCGCCCGTCCGCTGACGCCAGCCCTCTCCTCGTTCCTATCGGCACCGGCGGCGTCCTCGAGGCTCTCCAGGAGCTCAACGCGGAGCTCATTGCCTCCAACCACCCAGCACTCATTTCCGACAAGCGCCCGCACCAATACATTGGCCGCGAGGTCAACCCGGGCAGCTTTGGCCTGTACGAGTTCGCGTCGGGCCCCAAGCTCCTCCTCAAGGCGGGCCGTTACCCCGGGCTCCCGCTCTCCAACTGGGTCGGCTGCGACTGGCGCGGCACATACGACCTCGCGACCAACTTCCCGCCCATGTCCAGCAAAGCGAACGGCGTGCTCGTTCCCGACGAAGACCTGCAGCGTCTGGGCCTGACAATCGTCCAGGTCGCACAGAACCAGGCCGCGGTCTGCCTTGACCCCCAGATGCGCGTGTTCGTCGTCAGCGACCGCGGCTTTGTTGCTATGGCTACGAGCGGCGCGTACAAGGTCCTCGGCCTCGTCGACAAGACCCATCTCAGCGATCCCGTGGTCGACCGCCACTCGAAGCAGATTCTCGGACACACGCAGAGCGTGCGCCTTCCCAACCAGGCATATGTCGCCGCCACCTTCCTTGATATCCCGGCTAACGGATGCGCTGTGCTTCAGCGCAATAATTCATTGCACCAGCTCGGTGCAGGCCAGCACTACCTCACCGCGGCGGGTGTGTCGCTCCGCGGCTTCTTCACCATGGGCGAGGTCCAGATCGAGCTTGAGTGCGACAACATTTACACCCGCGACCAGGTGCCGGTCTGGCTGCGCCTGTATATCCGGTACGAGCTGCAGCACCCGCTGCAGCTCGCGCGGCACGGGTATCCGACGCCGTTCGATGCGCTGCAGGACAAGGCGCGCAGTATCCTCACGCAGATCGTCGCGCACCTCGACTACAGCACGATGGCGCGCACGCGCAACGCCGCGCCCGAGCTGCACGAAGTGGACGACGACGTGGGCGCCGTCTTCGTGAGTGCTGTGCGCACGCAGGCGATCGACGACCTCAAAGTCGTCGCGAGCGAGTACGGCATCAAGCTCGAGGACTTGGCGATCATCGACCGCAAGTTCAAGGGCGAGATTGCGGCCAAGCTCGACTCGTTGACAACGCGCGCCCTCGAAGCGCAGGTCGAAAGCGCGAATCTCGACCGCGAAAACGCCAACCGCAAGCTCAAGCAGCTGGGCGAGGCGCGCGTCCTCGAGCTCCAGAACGAGATGAAGCGCGCGACCGTCGAGACGGAGAACTTGAACGCAATCGCGCGCGCGCGCGCCAAAGCCGAGAGCTTGACGATCGAGGCCGAGGCCGAAGCCACCGCCATCAAGCTGCGCGCTGAAGCTCAGGCCGAGGCCACGCGCATCCAGGCGAGCGTGGACGCGCAGATCCGCGACGACTTTGCGCGCGACCTCGCACAGGGTCGTCTCGAGGTCGAGCGCACGCGCGCGTACGGCAACGGCACGGTCTTCGCGCCCATGGACGCGCTCCGCTCCTCAGGCATGGTCGGCATGGGCATGTTTGGCCCCCGGCCCAAGCCGCCCCCCGCTGTTCCCGCCGGCAGCCCCGCGCCCACCGCCGCGCCCGTGCCGCGCAAGTAGGCCTCTACGTGATCGCGATCTTGATAGCCAGAAATCCGAGTACTGTAAGATCAATAGGTCGAAACTGTCGCCGCCTCGCAATGTAATTGTGCGTCCTGTCTGGGATCATTGAGCACGAAGGTCAGAGTGAGGATGTGAACTGTTGCGAGGGAGAATTTCAGTTATTAACCGATGTTTTAGGGGCAGGGGAGTCGAGCGAAACTAGCACGGCCTCGCCGTCAACTTGCTTCCTCAGCTGAGGAGCGCCATTGTCGTGCCCGCAGTGGCGGATGCATGTTATGCAGGAGACGGCGTACGCCATGCGCCGTTAAAAGCGGAATGTGGGCTCTGAGTGATGCGGCAATGGCTGATGGCGTGAGAATAGAAGAACAGTGGTTATCCGCCCAAATTTAATCCCGCGCTGATCGGTTCCCGGGGCGGGTGGCAATTCCTTTGATGGCTTCGGTTGCTCGCCTCCACCCGCCCAAGCCACTCCCGCAAGTCATCATCTCGCCAACATCTGTTCTTGCGCTCTCTTCATCTCCCACTGCTCCACCCCCGGCGACATGGCTCTCCCCCGGGTCTCCAGGCCCCTCCTCGCCGCCCTCGCCATCACACTCGGCTTCCTCCTCGTCGCCGCGGGGCATAGGCACCAGACGGGGCGCTGGGCGCCGGCTGCCGCATGGCCGGATATCCGTGTCGAGAGCGCCTACAGCGACGAGATCGAGCGCTTTACGCACGACCCAGAAGGCCTTACCCTCTACAACCCCAAGAAGCCGTTCAACTACATGTGGAAGAACGAGGCCAAGCTCCGCCGCCTCGCCGTGTGCATGGAGCGCGGCGACTGCCACGAAAACGCGCTCAAGGTGAGGATTAATCAATTGCAATGTCTCACTTGGCATCCCCCGCTGACACCCAGTTCGTCGTCATCGGTGCTTACCACTGCCATCTCGCCGTGTTCGACAACTACCGCGGCGGCGAGGGCATCTGGTGCATGAACATGGTAGGCTGATGCGAGGCTGATGCGAGTCGAAGCTGACCGCAGATCGAATCGCTCGAGCGCCAGGGGTATACGGTGCTGTTCGCGGGCGAGGGCGACTGGAAGTACATGGCGCACCTCCATCGCCAGTTCCCAGAATACATTCGTGTTGTTCTGGCTGACGACGGGTCGCTTGAGGGCGGGCCTCCTGTCACCAAGCTGATGATGGAGAATATCAAAACCAAGGACAACCCGAACGGCGTGCCTGCGTGGAAAGTGGGTAACTTATGCGTCAACAAGCTCACCCAGTTCTTCCGCTTCTCGTTCTTCCCGAATGGTCTGTCGACGATAGTCGGGCAGCGGTGGTCTGCGATCGCCGAGCCGGAATGGAAAAAACCGACGGACCAAGGCTGGCGCAGTGAGTCCGCCCCTCCGGCCGCGCTCACGCAGATATGACATATCTCGGGTACGCGATTCCTGACGAGGACCCGGAGATCATCCCGTTCCACGACCGCCCGATGCGCGCCTACATCCTCAGCAAGCGCGTGCAGTACTTTTACGACGTGTACGGCAAGCCGATGATCGGGCGCGACCAAATCACGCGCGCGTACCACGAGCTGCGCCAAGAGTTCCCGACCTTCGAGTTCGTCGGCGCCTTCATCGACGACCGCTCGAAGGAGCAGCACGAGGCCCTCGGGCCCATGGAGATCCCCGAGGGCGTGCGCAACCTCGGCAAGCTCGGCCCCGAGGCGTGGGCGCACGAAGTCTCCAACTCGCGCGCCATGGTCGGCATCGGCTTCCCCGTCTCCTCGCCCAGCCCGTACCAGGCCCTCGCGCGCGGCGTGCCCTTCATCAACCCGCACCGCATCAACGAGGGGCACGACCCGAACGACCCGTACACATGGTTTATCTCGCAGCACGAGTTCCTCCGCATCCTCTCCCCGCCAGAGGTGTACCAGTACCCCGAATACGACTACGACGCGTTCGTCGACGCCATCCGGCAGGCGATGACACACGAGATGAAGCCGTGAGTGACTGGGCGAGGAGGGTGTTGACGCCAGACATCTGCTTGAGCGCCTCACGCGCAAGGCGCTGGACCAGCGCATGCGCGACTGGGTCGAAGCGGACTGGCGGCATGCCGCGTCCGTCATCCTGGAGAACCGCTTGAATGGGCACGAGACAGAGTACGGCCCCAGCGTGGGCGTGTTTGAGCTGTGAGCGCCCGAGTGGGCGAGCGAGCCAGCGAGCCAGCGACGAATCTAGACTGCGCTGTTGTGACATTATTGTATGCCCATTGCTCTTAGACTATGCATAGACACTTGGTGGATGGAGGATGGAGGATGGAGAATGGGGAGAGGAGACAGGGCACGTGATGTCATGCCGCCAAGCAATCCGGGGATGTCGATCATCCGATCCTCGCTTGTCCTGCGCCTTCCCTGCCATCTCCCACCCCTCGTCTTCTCACTTTCTCTCGCTCACTTTCTCTTTCTGTCTCTCTCTCTTACTGTCTCGCCGTCTTGCCCCATCTCTCTCATCCCCACCCAACACCCAACACCCCCATGTATCTCCCCCCGTGGTTCGCGGCCGCCATCGCGGCGTTTAACGGCGCCGCGCCGCGCCCCGACCAGCCCGCGCCCGTGTTCATGGCGACGGACGACCAGCTCTTCATGACCGTCGACAAGCTCGAGGAGGGTGCTGTGGCCCGGCTCGTCAAGTAAGTGTGAGAGCGCAACGCGAGGATTAGAGGGCTTGGGAGCATGGCGGGTGGAGGAGATAGATGAGGTGGAGGTGGGCGTCCCGCTTGGGTTTGGGCGGGGATGAGGTCGGGGAGCGTGGCGGCGTGCACCGTGCTGCTCGATACCGGAATGGTACAGTCGCCTGTGGAAAATGAACGGGCTAGCTCTGTTGCCAGTGGCAACGCAGTTCTAGCTCTCAAAAATCTCACCGATGTGCCACCGTTGTGTGCTCGTGTGACTTATGTCGTTGCACACAACTCTCCCGCTGACACCAGGGCATCACACAAGCCGCCCACTGCTTGGGTGTGGTCGCCGCGCAAGGAGTCACGGCTGGATCACGTCCGCATCGTCGCGGAAGGAAGCGACCCGGCGCTGTGCCTTGCTGCACCTCTTGGTGAGTGGAGATGAGGATTGTGCAGGGCGTGAGTCGGGCGGAAAGGGCGGGCACGTTCTATGTGCGGCCGCTTAGTCCAAGATTAAAGGCGAGAAGGCGCGGACGTGTGCGATTTTGTTGCGATGGGTCGGACTGCGGCTTACACAGATGCGAACGGCACACCCAAAGCAGGCGACCTGACCCTCGTGTCGTGCCACGGCAAGTTCGCAGATGACTTTGCTGGCGGCGCGTCCAAGGACCCATCGCGGTGGACTATGATGGACGAGCCTGGAGGCACCGTGAGCTTCCACCTTCCCAAGGGCTTGTTCATGGGGTATTCGGACAGCGATGTTGGCGCGACCAACAACTATGAGTGGAGCAGCCGATGGGTAGGGCTGGCGGCGGGAGACAAGTTGGAGTAGGCCGGGCTACACGCGGAAGTAGGAGGCCGGCCAGACTGCAGCGATCGGGGAAGAGACCCGAGGAGATGGAAACATGAGAGCATCATGAGAGCACCGTAGTGAGATGCAGCTGTAGCTGCAGCTGTCTCGACCACGAGCCGGACCGTGCTCTCGATCGGTGCAGAGGCCGCGGAGGGGCTGTTGATCCGAGCGCTGGCCAGACTAAGAACGATCAGGTGATCAGGTGAGCTCGGTGTACTCTAGATCCTCCGCTGCAAGCCTGTGCTGGTGCGGAATGCGGAAGCAAGAACATCTGCAGAAGAAGAACGTCCGACCTTGGCCCAAAGCTGTGCTAGCCACCGCCACCACCATACATCGTCGTTCACTCGTCACTCGTCAACATGCCGTACATCTCGCGACTGCCTTGGCGCATTCAGCGGCGCAGCTACTGTTCCTTGCCGGCAGTCTTGGCTTCTCACGTCCTCTCGCATCATCTCGCAACTGTACGTCACATGCCCACCCATCAACTTTGACTTTGTGACCTTACTCGGCTTATACAATGGCGCCCGTACGCCCCGGCGCCCACGCCATTCCCGCCCTGCTCGCTTCCACCAGGATACAATTTCGCGCAGCTGACTCGCCCCAAGCACCACCCTCGGACCTCAGATGCGAGTGTGCAGCGACAGCAGCGCGAGCAACCCGCCCACCCGAATCACCCGATCACCCGGCGTTACTCACTCCATTCCCACACTGATCACGCCGACTCTCACACTGCCCTGCCACTGACGGAATGTGCGAGCGGGCCGCGCGATTGGCTGGAGATCAAGATCCGATCTCGCAACAAGAGGCTGTAGCTGGCACCGCTTGCACAGTGCTTCTGCGATGTAGGCCATAAGCATATATGCGTGCGGGAGGTGGCGCCACTCCAACCTCCCATCTTCTGCTTTCTCCTCACCTCTCCTCCCCTCACCTCTCCTCACCTCTCCTCACCTCTCCTCACCTCCCTTCTCTCCTAGACTGCATCTCCAGCCATACCCAACATGAAGCTCGCGCTGCTCGTCGGCCTGGCGGCGCTCGCATCCGCTGCGCCCACCATCCCCGTAGGCGCTAGGATCGGCCTTTTCACGCGCGACAACTGGGGTAACGACGGCCACGACGGCAAACACGATGGTGGTGGATGGAAGGGCGGCGACGGCCATGACCACGACGGCTGGAAGGGCGATGGCCACGGCGACCATGACGGCCACGACGGCCACGACGGTGGCGATGGTGGCAAGGGCCCAGGCGGCCGCAAGAACTGTCTGGCTCGCCGCAACGGCGTCGGCATGGGCCACCTTTACTCCAGGGGTTGGGACAAAGGCGACGACAAGTGGGACGGCCACGATGGAGGCCACGATGGAGGCCACAAGGGCGGACATGGCGGACATGGCGGAAACGGCGGGCACGGTGGGCACGGTGGGAACGGTGGGCATGGCGGTGGCCACGACGACTGCCCGGACCCCAACTCAGAGGACGAGACAGCTGACTGGATCCTCGACAACCCCGCCGTCCGCGTCAACGTGACGCTTCCGCTTCGCGACGTCTCCATCCCTCTCATTGACGTTCTCCTTGACGGCCTCGTGCCAATCATCAACCGCACCGCCCCGATCCTCGACATCGACCTTGGCGACCTGCCCGCTCTCAAGAACAGCAGCAGCCCCGCAACCACATGGGGCGGTATCCTTTCGCAAGGCATGAACGCCACGTTCCGCCCGGTGCAAGGCACAAACCGGAACGCATTTGTGTTTGGCTCGGTCGTCTCTGAGTCGGGGCTGGGGCCTCGCAAGCGCCAGGTTGCAATCAACACACAGCCCGCCCTCCCACCTGCCGGCACGTGCGTGTACGAGTACCAGCATGTGCTGGGCGGAGACGGCAGCGCGTCGCGCGGCGCGCTGTGGGCGCTCGAGAACGTCGTCGACCTCGTCGCCGCCGACGTGCAGCAGGGCGGCATCGGCGACTGCGGCATGGGCGCGGCCATCATGGCTCTGGCAAGCGGCGGGTGGACGTCGCTCATCAAGAACTCGTTTGTGCGCGTCGGCCAGGGCGAGGGCTCGTATGAGGTCCTGCTCAAGAAGGACGGCGTGACGCAGCGCATCGCCATCGACGACCAGCTGCCCTCGCTCACCAACGCCAATCCCATGTGCTGGCCTTACCCGGGCTTCCAGCCCGTGCTTGACGCCGCCCTCCCCGGCCCTCTCGGCAACTACCCCCCGACGCCCATCTTCTTTATGCCGCTCTTCGAGAAGGCGTTCGCCAAGTTCCTCGACGCAAACCCGGACTGGAAGAGCACGCTGCCAAACGTCACGGGCTACGCGGGCCTCGAGGGTGTCAACCCGGCCTACGTGCTTGCGGCGATCACGGGCGGCACGCCGGTTAGCGTGTGGCGCACGCGCCCCGGCTTCGACGGCCCCATCCTCTCCGCCCTACTCACGTGTATGCGGGGCACGGCGCCGTGCGCCATCTCTACCGGAAATGCGACTACCCTCGAGGGCCTCGGCACGCCAGACGCCGGCACGATCTGGCTCAACCCCGCCGGCGACGCCGCCATGCCACGCGGCTACACGCCCGGCGACACGTCGGGCATGCTCGCGTCGGACGCGCCCGGCTCACCGTCGACATTCACCGTCATCGACTTTGACCAGGTCAATGAGACACCGGCCGGCGACCGCTCCACCGTCCTCACGTTCGTCGGCAATCACGCATACGGCTTCGACCACTCGCGCTCCACCGACTTCCCGCTGCCGGCCAACATCAACTCGCTGCTCAACGTCCGCATGTCCGCTCTCAACCCCTGGGGCGCCAATCCGTGCCAGTGGCCCGGAGGCGGCTGCGGCGACGGCGACAGCGAGTTCGACGAGCCCTCCGAGCTCCCCTTCAGCTTCCGCACGCTTGCTATGAGTACGTGTCTACCTTACACCGCTGACCCCAGGCATCGTCGGCGTGTTCACAGTGACTATGCCGGCGAGCTCGTAATTTCAGCACCACGCATGGACATCAGATCAGGACAATTAGTAACGACGCGCAGTAGGCGCTACGCTGTCTCTAACGTATTGTGGACAATTAGCATGAATATTGTGAACAGATTCTCCGCTTTAAATGGCGCCTTCCGATTGTGGACGATTAGCATCAATACTATAAACCACCCCCACGCCCGGAGGTCGCCCTCTAATACGGCGCGTGCCGCTTCTTCTGCCTCTTCTCCTTCTTGCTGCGCCGTTCCTCGCGTGTATCTCTCCGCTCCGCATCCTCCTCCTCCATCTCCACCTCCTGGTCCTGCTCGCCTTCCGCCCCAGTCAGCAGGCGGACATCGCCCAGCCCCCAGCCCGCAAGCACGCCATCTTCCGAGCCAGTGTACACCGCCTGGTCCGCCGGCGCGTGATACAGGCAGCGGACGACGTCCGCGTGCCCGCTGCTCCCGGGGAGGAGGAACGCGCTTGGCTCGTACGCCTCGCTTGTGCTGTACTCGAGCACGACCGCGCCACTGCCGTCAGCACCCTTCGCTTGTAGCCATACTCATTCGCCCCCGCCGCGACAACAGGAGCACCCGCACGCCCGACGCCGAGGCTCGGCGCCGCCGTGACGAGATACTCGGAGACAAGGGGTCCCGAGGGTCCCGCGAGCGTCCGCGCCTTAAACTGCGAGCTGGGCACCTCTTCCAGCGTCCCAAACTCGAGGCCCTCGTCGCCCACGCGCACGCCCCATCCCGCCAGCGTGTCCATGTCGCTGCGCGCCCACACGCGCATGCCGCCGGCCCACGCGTATGCGCCGGCGCCGGCGATCGAGGCGTTCCAGTTCTCCTCCGCCTGCACGGCGTCGTCTTCGTCGTGCTCCGCCGCATTCGAGAGCGCGACGCACCCGTCCACGCTCCCGCTCAGCAGGAGCTTGGCCGGCACATCCGCGTGCGAGAGGAACGAGAGATGTGTGATCTCGTCGCTGTGCGTCGAGCTGTGGCGGTACGCGGGGACGGAGGCGTTGCGCGTATCCCAGAACAAGATGTGCGCTTCGGACGACACCACCTCCGTGCCACCTACGACGAGGTGCTCGGCCTCGCTGACGGCCAACGCGGTTACGGGGAGCGGCTTGCGGATGTGCGCTGCGTGAGCTCGTCCGCGCGAAGCTCACCTTTGATCTCGGCGACGGGGCGTTGTGTCCGCTCGTCCCACCGCACCACTTTCGCGTCTTTGCCCGCGCTCCAGATGCTCGTGTCCGCGCACACGGCCGTTACGGGCGCGGTGTGGGCGCCGGACAGCGACGCAACGCTCTGCAGCGTCGCGCGGTCCGCCAGCGTGATCTCCGGCTCGGGGTGGCGCAGGGCCAGGTGAGATGACGTCGGCACGATGTCGACAATGTAGGGGCGCGCGGGGAGCGCGTGTGCGCGCGCCGGATGGAGAGTCGGGAGGTACATGGTGTGATGGAGTTGTTGATTCAAGGCCCGAGATTGAGAAATTTGGATGGATATGACGCAACTGTGCCGTGTGGAGACTCCACACGAGGTAACATTCCTTGCACTCTCACGAAGAGAAGATAGTTGCCGTTCCCACGCTCTCTCTATTAACACTTTATGCTATGAAGCTGACCGCACTGATAGCAACGACGCTGCTTGCCACAGCCGTGGCAGAGCGCCACTTCCCGGACGCGGACGTCGCTCAGACCACGTTCAAAGGGCACAAGAGTCGGAACCCGGGAAAGCTGTATGACAGCTTCGTTAAGATCTGTGAGCATACCGCACGCGCACCTGACACCAGTCTCGGGTGAGCGGTCCGGCGTCGACACATATCTCCAGGACCAAGTAGAAAAGATGTATCCGGGGCAGACGGTTGCGGTGACGCAAGACTACAATTTCGATCTGCTGGCGTGGGCGGAGGCGAGCAAGAGCCGGTCCTTGTGCGCGAGCTGCCGGACTTTCCTTCCATTAAGCGTACGAGCTACTTGCGCCCGCGGAGGAGGAATGAAGGCCCTGGTGCGGCGGCGGAGAGCTCGGTGTTTGGCGGCTGGAAAGTATCGTGGCGCGACACAGAGTTCGACGCCATCATGGCAACAGTGAGCCGCTCCAAGTGCTCGCTGATGGCAGTGGATGGAAGGCATGGGACCACTGACCCAGTGGCACATTGTGACGAAGAAAAAGGAGCAGGCGCATGCGCTCATCCAAGAGGTGATGCAGTACAGCAACTCGGTGCGCGACGTGATTTGGGTGTTTGAGATGGGTGGGTGGCGGCCGGACAAGGAGTTGTGGGATGCGGTGCAGAAGGCGTCTTGGGACGACGTCGTGCTGGAAGCCGATTTCAAGAAGAGCATCCAGAACGACTACCGCACATTTTTTAAGAGCGAGGAAACGTACAAGAGGCTCAATATCCCGTGGAAGCGTGGCCTCATCTTCCTGGGCCCGCCGGGCAACGGCAAGACGATCAGTCTCAAAGCCATCATGCACGAAATGGACGTACCTACCCTCTACGTGCGGACCTTGACCAGTACGGCCTCCAGTAAAGGGAGCTTACATCAGGCTTTATGGGCGACGAGTTTAGTGTCCGCCAGATCTTTGAGCGCGCCCGACAAGAGGCGCCGTGCATCCTGATCCTCGAAGACCTGGACAGCATTATCACAGATCGTAGCCGCAGTTTTTTCCTCAACGAAGTTGATGGAATCAATGCCAACGATGGTATCCTTATGGTTAGCTGGATATGCGCTGTGCTGACTGCAGATCGGAACGACCAACCACTTCGACTGCCTCGACCCCGGTCTCGCGAACCGCCCGTCGCGCTTCGACCGCAAGTAGTGCGTCGCTTTCAGACCCCGGCTGACACCAGCAACTTCCCCAACCCGTCCAAGGAGCAGCGCAGGGACTACGCGCTGTTCTGGCAGGGCAAGCTCAAGGATAACAAGGACATCGAGTTCCCCGACGACCTTGTTGACGAGTTCGCCGATAAGACGGACAAGTTCTCCTTCGCGTACATGAAAGAGGCCTTGTAAGTCACCTCTGTGGACAGGCGCTGGGCTGACGTCAGCATATCGAGCCTCTTGACCCTCGCAGCGGGAGGGAAGATCGACTTCCGCGAGGCGCTCATGAAGCAGGTGGAGCACCTGCGCAAGGAGCTCGAGGAGAACCCGGAAGTCGCTGGAGTGCACCGAGACAACTTCGGTGCCCGAAACTTCCGGGGCGTGTTACACTCGGATTTCCGCCATGAAATCGGCGACAAATCTAGACCTGTGTTCCGATCTCCTCGTTTGCTTTAGGAGTTGTAGCTCGAATCAAGAGAACGCAGAATGTGATCTGAGCATGGCCGGACTGGATGTCGGCCGGATATACCAGAGATGATCCGCGGTCATGTGAACAGGAGGCGAGGATGGACAGCCATAAACATGCACATCTCTTATTCCTCTATTCTTTTCTACTCTTACTGCGACACTCACAACGGTCATCTGGTGTTGAGTGAGTTGCGAACGACGTGGCTGACGGCTCACTCCAGCCCCGGCACCTCACTTTCGGGCCCCATCACGCCATGCCACCAACATCCACGCCGACGCCTATGCCCTCCCCCGACCCCCGCATCGGCATGTGGCCGTGGGTCGGCTTTCTGACGCTCGCGCTCTCACTCGCCCTCCTGACCCTCGTCGTAGGCATGGTGTGGATGCTCGGCCTTGCACGCCGGCGCGCCCAGACGGACGCAGAGCGTGCCGAGACACGCGCGCTGCTCGTGGAGGCCGAGCGGGTCGGGAGCCAGTTCTCGCGATTCTAGCACCACGCGATGGCGCGACACGGAGAAGGCAGTGGAGAGGAGGGTCTCATGCATTGTGAGCTTGGCCGGCGACGCCGCTGACTTCGCAGTAGGGTTTGGTCTCGTGAATGAGAGTGTACTGCCACGTCATGCGACGTACGATGTGTACTACAACGGACACCCCTTGATCTGCGAAAGTGGTCAGCAAAGGGAATGCGGAGGGGCATGGGCAGCAGGGCGTCAAGCCACTGTCCAGCTGGTCGGTCCTCTCGGGCAGGCTCTGCGCTCCGCAGCCACTGCAGAAGTGAAGAGTGTGAATGCTGCATCTATACGTCTACTTCTCCAGCTCCTTCTTGGCTGTCGCCATGCTCTTCTCGAGCTCGGCCGTCGCCGCGTCCGCGAGCTTCTGCACGTCGTCCGTGCCGTCCTCGCCTCGCCCGCCGAGCGCCTTGAGGCCTTCTGTGCGTGCCACGCGCACCTGGTTCTTGGCCGCCTCGATGGTCTCATGCAGATTCTTGAGAATCGACTGGCGCACCTCACTTGTAGGCCGGGACACGGGGATGCGGATGCTCGTCCCGTCCTGCTGCGGGCTCATGCCGGGGAGGTTGGCGCTGTGGATGGCCGAGGAGACAGCCTTGGCGGCGTCGGCATCCCACACGTCCACGATGAGTGTGTTCTGCTTGGCTGTGATGGAGGCCACGGATTTGAGTGGCACGGAGCCGGTGTCCGTCGTCACCTTGATGTTGTCAAGGATAGCTGGGGTAAGCGACACTTCTGGTGCGAGGAATGGGTAAGCAGACAAAGACCGCCGTAACGCCACGGACTGTCCCAGACGCCAGCAGGCGACTGGAACGCCAACGCCGCCATATCCGAACGGCCGTCGGCCCGCCACTCACCTGGTGAAACATGCCCGCGCCCGCGCTGCACGCCCTCGTAGACGACGCCGCGCGCCCAGTCGACCGACTTGTCCATCTTAGCCTTGGTCTTCTCGGCCACCGCGTCAATCTCATCGGGTGTCAACCCCTTGTCCTCCTCGACGTCCTCCTTCCCTTTCTTGCCCTTCTTCCCCGCCTTTCCCTTGCCCTTCGCTGGCGGCTCGTCGTCCTCCTCGACCTCTTCGGACTTCTTGCCCTTCTTCGCCGCCTTGCCGCCCTTCTTCAATGCGGGCGCCGAGGTGGTAAATGCCCGCGACGAAGATGCGGCCAGCGAGCTCTGCGCAGAATGTGAGGGACCGGCGTGCGGCACCGGCACCGCGACTACGCGGAACGAGGATGGTGCGCCGACGGCGCGGAGCGCGCGCGCAGGCGTGGCGACGCGAGTGAGGAGGCGGGAGTTCATGGTTGATGGTCGGGGATGAGTAGTGGGAGCGAACAAGAGTCGCCGGAGAAACACTCTTATCAATCGAAAACTCGGGTGGAGGCCACGTGGAAATTGCTAATGCCTCGCCAAATGCGACTGCGCCCAACTGTAATCCGCGCCGGAGCGCTCCGGGCCGCCGCGCCGCCCCTCTATCGCTACGCATGCATATGATACACTCGTCTCTACTTGCGCTCGATGTCCTCGAGGTTGGGCATAAGGCGGACGACCTTGCCCTCGTTGCGTGCGTGCTTCCGCAGCCTGTCGTCAGCCACGGCTCCTCGCTCCACCGGTGACTCACTTCGCAAGCAGCGGCGTGTCGGCCCACCGCTCCGGCGCCGGCCGCTTCTCAATCGCCCAGTAGTAGATGTCCCAGTCGGGCTCGTCCAGCAGCTTGTCGAACTGCTGCATCTCCTGCACGTCCATCGAGGGCAGGAAATCGCGCGCAAAGGTGCTCAACAGCAGGTCCGTCTCGAGGATGCCGCGCTTACGCGTCTGGTAGATCAGGCGCGCGCGGAGCGTCTCAGGCGCCTCGCCCGTGCGGTCGAGGGGAGGGGGCAGCTCCCACCCGTCCACGACGTCGGTGGGGTCGCGGAGAGCGTTGCGCGCCGCCTCGGCCTCGGCGAGCGCAGGGTCGAAGGGGAGCGGGAAGGGGTCGCGTGGGCGCTCGGGGCGGTCATTGCGGACGCGCGAGGAGGAGGCCAGCGTGCGTGCGAACACGGGCCGGAAGGCGAGGCGGGAGGCGAGGCGCAAAGACATGGTTGCGGTGGCAATGTACGACATCAAAGACATGACTGCGGTCTTTCGAACTGCGGACATGATCGCTCCAAGTGGAGGTGAACACCGTGGGAAAGCAGAAAGCAGTGGCGATTAGGAAGGCAGACAAGTCACCGAATATGACGAGCTCACCTCCACCATCTGAGATGCACAATAATATCTCATCTCACCATCTCCTCTTTCATGCAACCACATCATCTCTTGCTCGGCGCTACTGTTCCAACTCTATCCAAGATGCCAGAGGCAAGCTGCTCACTCGAGGCGCGAAGCTGACAGGACAGCAGCACCACTACCCCGAGATCAAGCGCGGAGCCTCTCTCCTCCTCGCCTGGCGTCTGGAGGGCAAGAAAGTACTGCTCGTCGGCGGCGGCGCTGTCGCAGCCTCGCGACTCGGCTTCCTCCTCGAGGCGGGCGCACACGTTACGATCGTCTCTCCTGGTCCCTTGGAGCACTCGCTGGCCCACCGCGTTGCCACTGAACCAGAATACGTTACGTGGGTCGAGCGGACATATGGCCGCCCGGATGGGCCAGAGACCAAGGCCGAGGACCTCGCCAAGGACAAAGAGCTCCCCGTCACCGACTTTGACATGGTGTTCACCGCTATTGATGACAACCCGCTCTCCCGGGCCGTCTGTGACGCCGCGCGCGCGGCACGTGTGCCAGTCAATGTCGCCGATGTGCCGCCCGAGTGCGACTTCTACTTCGGCGCGCAGGTGCGCCGCGGCCCGCTCCAGGTCATGGTTTCGACGAGCGGCGCTGGGCCCAAGGTCGCCGTCATCGTGCGCGATGTCATTGCCGACGCCATCCCAGCCGACGTCGAGGACGCCATTGCAGGTGTGGGCGCACTGCGGAAGGAGTTGCGCGAGCGAGCGCCCGGCGTCGGCGGGGCGCTCAGCAAGCGGCGCATGCGCTGGATGATCGACACTTGCGACGCGTGGAAGCTCTCCGAGATGGGCGCTATGAAGAGCCCTGAGGTTCGCCGAAGGCTGCTCGACGACGGGTGGGAGAAGCACCGCATCCTCTCCGCACACGATCTCGGCGCATCAGAGGCGGAGGTTCAGGTTATTGGGAGCCGGATATCGTCGCTTGTGCACAGTGCGGCTTTTTGGCCGAGTGTGTTGAGCTTCGTCGCGGGCGCGGCCGTGGCCTCGGCCTCGTTCATTGCGGCCGCACGGAGGAAGTAGAAGCCTTCTCATTATCACCTTGTAGAGTCTAGTATATGTTACATCTCTCTGAGTTGACAGCCACTACCAGAGAGTGGGACGCGCCTTGTCGCGACCCCCATTCCGCCGCAGCTTGTCCATCTGCTTTGCCTTGCGGTTGCTCAGAGCCGTCGTCTCGATAGTCCCGTACTTGTCCTCCTTGATCTTGCTCAAGCGGATGGGACGGTTCCCTACATACTTGCCTGCTGTCAGCCGGGCCTCTCTCTCAGCGCCTACCGTCCATCTCCTTCCACGCCTTGAGGAAGTCTTCTGGGTCCTTGAATGCGATGAATCCGTACTTCGCCTAATGTCAGATGGCTTACCAGCCGATAACCTCACCTTCTGACTCAACCGGTCGCGCACGACTTTACACTTGCAATACGAGCGATACTTGGCGAAGGCCTCGTCGAGCGTGCGCTCGCTGACGTCATTCGAGACGTCGCCGACGAAAAGGCGATACCATTCTAGAAAGTCAGCCGTAGTCATACCAGCAGCACTCACTGGGATCCCAGTCTACCAGAGTTGGGTCCTCCCAGGTCCTCCCGCCAGCTGTGCGGATGACAGTGTCACGCTGCTTGTTGACGACCTGCTTCTGCTTGGGCGCCTTGCCGTGAGACGGCGCCTTTTGCTTTTCCTTGGGCTGCAGGAGCTCCGCGCCAAGGATGGGGACATTCTTCGGCGCCGTCGCGCCGCTGCCGACCGAGCCGATCTTGTATCCGTCCTTGTCGTACTGCGTCGGATCGTACACGGCCGCGCTCGTGGATGCCTCGGCGTTGACCGACTCACCGGCGCCCCACGAACTCATCATTGACGCGATCTGCTCCTGCGTGTAGCCCTGCTGGGCGTAGTACTGTTGTCAGCATTTGACGGGCAAGCGAGGGAGGGAAGGAGGGAGGGTGAAGGAGGCGCTGGTGCGGGACGAGTTGATCAACTGAGACAGTCCACACTGATACCCCGTTCAACCGACGAGTTTCGCCTCTACTAAACGCTATGAACAACCAAGGCCTCCTCCTGTCCTCGGAGTACTAGCACGCCGAACAGGCGGGCCGGGATGCAGCCTGTCGATCGCCAACGACGGCGTGTCTACGTCGGTATACTCACAGCTGCCCACTGAGCGTTAGCGCCATACATAGGTGCACGCGATGGACTTACCGCTGCTTGACGCTCTGCCTCAGAGACGCCTTGCGCCGACGACGACGACATTTTGGATGGTGAGGAAAAGTTGGATGGAATGCTGGAGAGAGATTGAGAGGTGTCAACATTGAGTTGGGTGGCAAGTGTGACAAACTGATCCCGTCAGTTTCAGGCAAGCACACGCCTTTTGCGGTGAGGGAGCGCCAGGATTCGAACAACCGACATGTACCACCAACGACGTAGTCTCCACCGTGGGAAACTTATTTCAGTGGCGCCAATACCCGAATATTCTCTGCGCTCTACTGGAGTGAACTAGCGGGAATGCGCGGCACGCGAGCCGAGCTTTTGTTCGCATCCGGTATCCGGACCGGCCCACCATCTTACGTGCTCTCGGAACCCCATTGTCGCGATGTGGCGCTTATCGCTCGCTGGAACGTATCCGGCGCTATGCGACCAATTCATCGGCCCCCAACGCGGCCGAACGCCCTGTGTCTCGCATTAATTATAATTATAGCCCACGACTTGGAAGCCCCTAGATCCCGCGGATAATATCAGCGCGCCTCACGATCAACGTGAGACAGAACGATCGCGATGGGTTTGCTCCGATCCGACACGCCCGACGGCCAGGAAATATCGCGCAAAACACCATTCAACTCAATTCATTCTCGCTGCGTGAGTCGCTACAATCAGACTAGCTACAGGCACGCCCTGTGCGCCTCGCCAATGGCGCCTCACACGTGTGCGAGCTCGCCCTTCTCCGTCTTCTTCTCCTTGCGCCATGGCTTGTTGAGCGGGCTCTCCTTGCCGTCGAAGATGCACAGGTCGTACGTGAACGCGCCGACGAGCGCGCCGCAAATCGTCGCGATGATCGGCGTGTATATCCAATAGCAGTTGCGATATGTCCAGATGGTCTTCGGGTAGCCGAACATGGCGCAGGCGATGCGGGGGCCGAGGTCGCGCGCAGGGTTGAGGCAGTAGGCCGTCTCGGTGCCGAGCGCGGCGCCGATGCCGACAATCAGCCACAGGAGGACCATACCGTTCATGCCGTTGGGGATAGGGTTGTTGTTCTGGTCGCTGAGGCAGAGGATGAGACCCATCAGGACTGCGGTCGCGAATACCTCGGAGAAAAAGGCGCCGACATTGGTCATGTACGGCTGCGTGTTGGTGAAGAAGAGGGCGCCGGTGGACGTCTCGAGGCCAAACGTCCGCACGTTGTATCCGCCCTCGAACTGGTTCAGAAGCCGGTGGTAGTTGCCTTGCACGAGACACGAGCCGAAGCATGCTCCGAGCGTCTGCGCGAGGATGTACCCGGGAACTTTTCGCCATGGGAAGCCGCGGAATGTCGCCAACGAGATAGTCACGGCCGGATTGATGTGGGCGCCACTCACGCCGCCACAAACGTACACGCCAAACCTGGGGTCAGCTTTCGGCACACAGGCACCATTGCTCACATGACACCGATGCCCCACCCGAACGAGATCGACAGGTACTGGCCCTGCTTCCACTCGCTGAGGACTGCCTGGCAGTTGACGCCGTTGCCGAAAATGAGGAGGATCATGGTTCCAATGAACTCGCCGATGTAGTCCTTGTACTTGTGGCGGAAACGGGCAAGGGGGTTGGCAGGCATGCAGATGTCGGCTCGGTCGGGCACCTCGAGCTCCGGGTGGTGCTCAAAGTGCTCGACCGACGTCTGCTTGTGTACGGGCAGTGACGAATTCTTTGGGGTGGGGTGGGCTGTCGTGTGTGCAGGCGTGTCTGCGGGGGTGATGTGGCCGACTGCGCCTGGCCAGACCGTGTGCGACGTCGGCGCTTGTCCTGCCGTCAGTCATGATTTAGGAGGAGCTCACCATGCTGCATCTGCTCCAGCATCTCGGGCGTAACCAAAATGTACTGCACTTGCGGCTCATGGCTGCGGTAGCCGGGACCGATGACGCCGGGGTGAGAGTGGTAAGCGTGAGCGTGAGTGGCACCTGGGCCGACGACGTTGTGCATTGGCTGGACGTCCGGGGCGGCCGGGTGCTGCTCATCGGGAAGGGAGCGAGCAGCGAGTATTGGGTGGCTGCCGGGGATAGAGCTGATGTCGCTCATGGGTCCGTTATAGCGGATCTCCTCGTGCACGGCGCTGTGCACGCCTGGTGTGTGGTGGACCTCCATTCTTGAGTCTTCTGGAGTGGACACAGGTCTTGATGAAGGTAATGGGTGAGATGCGGGCGCCGTGCGCGCACTCGCTCTTTAAGCATGCGTTCATACCTCGATCTGCAGCACATGCCCTCTTTGGATTCTCCAGCTAACGCGGCCAAGTGAGCCCGACAGCCCCACACTCGCGAGAGGAAGAGCGCAATGCCAGCCAGACACTCGCCAGCACTGCAGTCCCGGTGCGGGGCGTAAGGCAGGTCCTCGGCCCTCATCTCGCGTAGATCAGGAGCCAATGCCAAGCGCTGGGCAGCTGGGCGAGCGGAACCGGCTTCACCTCCGTGAGCGCCAGATTGACTACCTTTCCTCATTTGAGCCGACATCGGAGTGGGGTCGGAGCGGCCACTGCCGGCTGGGTGGGGCGGCAGATGCCCGCAACTTCGTCACAAACTCGGAAAACGGGGGCCACCGAAGGTTCGCCTGCCGTCATGCTCAGGCTCCACCACGGCACCGGCCAAGGTCGCTCGGTCGCGCTCTCCTGCGTTTGAGCACACAAGTAGTCAGGCAACTCGATCGGCAGGGCAGGGCACCGTGGCAAGCGGGCAAGCGACGCACATTCACACATGGCTCATTCTCTTGGAACTGAGGCTGCACCATGTCGCGCAGATCAGGCGGAATGAATATCCCAGCCCCAGCCACTTCAGCGCGCCTTTGACTACGTGCGGGAAGCACCTGAGCATGTGATCCCCATCAACTTGTTCAGTCTTCCGCCGGCTGTGCACATGTGATGAGTTTAGCGCAGCCACACCGCTCAGTCGACATGGCCGGGTTTCCCGAGCATATGATGGGATTTTTCCGAGTAGTACTGAGACATGAATGGCCGGCGGGCGTTCACCTGGTCGCTGCGGCTGCAACAATGGTCGATCGAACCGGCAGACCCAGCCGAAGAGATCGGTGTGGGGCCGAGGTACTGTGATGCGGGGCAGTTAGGGTGAGTTAGCAGAGTCAGCGCCGCGCGCCGAGCCATGAGCCGCGGTAACACATGGGACGGGAAGTCGCCGGGGTCACCGGGGGCCTGGCTGAGTGATGGAATGGGCGGGATGGCGAGATGTTGTGAGCAACGTGTGTCACAATTCAACAACGTCTTTCGCCAGGTCAAGGCACGGGGCGATTCGCCCTGAACTAAGATCGACAGGTGGCAGGTGCGAGATGGCACGACGCTCACCTCATCCTCCTCATTCCAGCAACTGAAGGTGACACACGGCCTGTCCTCTTCTTCTTCTCCCCACATGCTTGCCAAGCTCTGCCCGCGTTCCGTGACGTCCGCAACTCCCGCGGAGGCATTAGGGTGCCTCCTCGATGAATCTTGGCCTCCTGCTGTGTGTGGCAGCTCGGAGATACCCCGGCAACGTAATTGGCCCCAAAAGGCCCCACGCAGAACGATGGTCCGCATGATCGAGCCTCTCGTCATCTCCCTGCACCATGCCTTGCCCACCATCCATCTCCGCGCAGTCCGTGTACGCCGGGTGGCCGACGCTTTGGACGGTCTGAACAGGATGTCTCAACTCCGCACGATTGCGCCGAGCCGGCGCCGGCTGATTGGCTGGCGTACATGGCCATGCGGAATCTTTGGCTCGCCCTCCTCAAGACCTCAGGAACCAACCCTCTCCTCATTCCCAACCACCTCACAGCTGCTCGCCACAGTTGCCGACGATTCATGCCTGCGCACCGCCTGGGAGGGCGCTTGGCCGTCGCTGCCGGCCCAGCCTCAGCGATCCCATGCGCGTTGCTCTTCCCGCCTCTGCCCAGGATGCCGTGGTCTGCCGCTCGTATGCGCCTGCCCCCTCGAACGCAAAGCCAAGCGCGCACACTCACCCGCCTCTGTGCGCTCCCACGCCCCGGCCCGGCTCGTCGCGGTGATATACCCCGCGCCATCACACACACACCGCTCTTCAAGAGTAGCCGGACGCCCCATTTCCGCACATCTGCACCGCGACTTCATCACTACACCACAATGACCGTCCCTCAGAAGCAGTATCTCATCTCGGTCGACGTCGGGACGACGAGCACGCGCGCCATCGTCTTTGACGAGGCCGCCGAAGCCGTCCTCACCCACCAGACCGAGTATGAGCAGCTGTACCCCCACCCCGGGTGGCACGAGCAGCGCCTCGAGGACCTCATTGGCACTGTCAACGAGTGCCTTGAGGGTGTGGCGAGCAAGCTCAAGGAGAAGGGGATCGAGAAGGACCAGATTCCGGCCATGGGCATCACGAACCAGCGCGAGACTACTTGCGTTTGGTCGCGGAGCACCGGCAAGCCCCTCCACAACGGTTAGTACGGCGGGACAGGGGGAGGGTAGCGATAAGACTACAGACAGCGAGGAGGAGCTGACAGCAGCCGTCGTGTGGCCTGACACGCGTAACACGGTCACTGTCCGCCTCTTGTCGCTCAAGACGCGCAAGGGCGGCGACGTTCTCAAGGAGAAGACCGGCCTGCCCCTCTCGACGTACTTTGCCGGTCCAAAGCTGAAGTGGCTACTGGACAACGTCGACGCGGTCAAGGAGGCGCACGAGAAGGACGACCTGATGTTCGGCACCGTCGAGTCGTGGGTTCTTTGGAACCTCACGGGCGGCAAAGAGGGCGGCGTGCACCTGACGGACGTGACAAATGCGTCGCGCACGATGCTTATGGATCTCAAGACGCTGCAGTGGGACGACGAGTGTCTGAAATTCTTCGGCTTCCGGCCCAAGATCCTGCCCAAGATCGTCTCCAATGCCGAGGTATACGGCAACGTCGCCAGCGGCGCGTTCAAGGGCTTGCCGATCGCAGGCATGATCGGCGACCAGCAAGCCGCGCTCGTGGGCAACAAGTGCGTCGAGCTGGGCTCGGCCAAGAACACGTACGGCACGGGCGCATTCATGCTGTTCAACACGGGCCACGACATCGTGCCGTCAAACTACGGCCTGCTCACCACCGCGGGGTACAAGGCCGGGCCGAACGCGCAGCCTGTGTACGCGCTCGAGGGCTCGATCGCCGTCGCGGGCTCGAGCATCCAGTGGCTCCGCGACCAGCTCGAGCTGATCAGCAGCGCCAAGGAGATCGGCGAGCTCGCCGGCAAGGTCAAGGACACGGGCGGCGTGTACTTTGTCCCGGCGTTCTCGGGGCTCTTCGCCCCGTACTGGGACGACACGGCGGCGGGCACCATTGTCGGTATGACGGCGTACACGAACAAGTGCCACATTGCGCGCGCGACGCTCGAGGCCACGTGCTTCCAGACGCGCGCGATCCTCGAAGCCATGGCCAAGGACTCGAAGAAGACGCTCAAGGTCTTGCGCGTCGACGGCGGCATGACCAACTCTGGTGAGTTTTTCCCCCTCTGTCGTCCCCTCTCGCATAAGCCGCGACCATACTAACCGCAGACGTGTGCATGCAGCTCCAGTCCGACATCCTCGGCATTGAGGTCGAGCGCCCCGTAATGCGCGAGTCGACGGCGCTCGGGTCGGCGATCTGCGCGGGCGTCGCGATGAACCTCTTCGGATGGGATCTGGCCAAACCAGAGACGCTCTCCAAAGTCAATGTGCAGGGCAAGACGACGTTCGAGCCCAAAATCGCCGAGAACGAGCGCGTGCATCGCGTGCGCGGGTGGGACCGTGCCGTCCAGCGCGCCATGCAGTGGAAGGAGGACGACGCGCGTGCTTCACGTACCCCGGGTGCGTTCGAGGCCGATGCGCCGGCCGTGGGCCGTGGCAACTGAGAGCGTGGGCTAAAGCGACAGTGGAGAGCTCGGCAGCAAGGTTGTAACAAGCAACATAGGTGTAGGCTATGCTACTGCTAGCAGCGGTGAGGTGGTCACTATCGTTTGGTGCTGTGCCATTGCCTCCTAGCTTAGGAGGTGCCACGTCGTCCACGTCGTGAGATCTCGTTGACCTCAAAAGTTAATCGCGCACCGATGCCAGGGATCGTCGATCAGCCACTTACGATTACAAGGGGTGCGGGATACCCGCTCATTATGACGTCATCCTATAATGCCCACTCAAACCAGCCAACCTCACCACACCACAACTCTCACAAGACTTTTGCTTGCAACCAAGCACGCACCAGTGGCGAGGACCCGCCCGGACGGCTAGTTATTGCACTTGTGGATGCTCTGGCGACATTGTGTGCACTGTAGTCGTGCGAGGGCCCGTCCGGTCACGTTAGCGTTCGTGACTGCTTGGTCCTCACGCAGCGACGAGAGAACTATACTTAAAGACCTCGGCGCCGGCGTGTTTGGTGCTCTTGGTCGCCATCAGTCACTCCGTTCTGCACATTCTTTCTCTGAAACCACCACCCGTCTCAGACGAGTGGCGACGGCCAGCTCCGCCGGTCGCACGCTCGCGACTCTCCCCACAACTCCCCTCTTCTCCACTCAGCTCAGCCTGACGAGCGACGCGTTGCACCGCCTCGCTGGATCGCTAGTGGCGACAGTGGCGTCCGAAGCATGTACACGTGCATGAGGTCACCGTGAGCGGCTTCTCGAAGAGCTCTCGGAATGCCAGCGAATGAGCGCGGAGGATAGCAGTCGAGCAAGATCAAGAACCGACCAGGGGCCGCATGCAAGGGGGCGGCCTGGACCGTCATCATGATGACCAGCAGTGTCACGCATGTTGGTGCCGCTGGTGCCGTTGTCCCTCTTCGATCTCCCGTCTTGGCCTCTTTGAGAGCAGCCGCGGTGCAGCGTAGCGAAGCGAGGGTACCTCGTCCAACCTGTGACGGCCGCGGCATGTGGAATGACGTAGTGGATGTTTGAGGTTGAACACTTGTCGGCCGCCTGGCCCCGATCACCATCGACAACGCTGGTGAACGCTGGTGCCGGAGGTGAGCGCGCAAGTAGCTCATGTGCGCATGTGCAGCATGAGATCTCGGAACTTGAGCGACCGCTAGAACGGGACGAGGGGGGCCACTCAAACTCAACAACCCGCACACCTCGGGTGCGTCACGAGACCCTTCACAGCCCTCCTCGCTCCCCTCGCTCCCTCGCTCCCTCGTTACCTCGCCTGACATGGCTGCTCCGCTCGTGTGCTGCTCATCCCATGCAACCCATTGTCCATGCCTATGACCTCATCCACGGCTGCTCGCCGGCTACCACAGCGCCCACCTCGCTGGCACTCTCGCGCTGGCACGGCGCTTCTCGCTCACCGACATCGCATATAAGCCGCGGCGCGTGATCGTTGCATCTCCATCCGCTCTCATCTCTACTTTCACGAACTTGTACGAAACTCAACCGAACCACCCAAACATCACCAATCAATAATGGAGGCCATCAAGAAGCTCGTTTCGTGAGTACACCCCCACTTTTCAATAGCTCTCCCGCCATGCCCGAGACTCCAGCTCACACGCAGCGGCTGCAAGTGCCCCGAGGGTACCCGCGGCACCGCCCAGTGCCAGTGCCGTGCCCAGGCCGGCGGCTGCCCCTGCAAGACCAACAAGTGCAAGTGCCCCGGCTGCACTGGCCGTGTCCGCGCCGAGGGTCGCCACACCTCGTCGTCGTCGTCGGACGAGGATGACAACGACGCCATGCGCCAGCGCAAGGCCGCCAAGAAGCAGTACCGCATGCAGGCCGGCGGCATGGGTGGTGGCATGGGCCAGCCCGGTATGGGCGGCGGCATGGGCCAGCCCGGCATGGGCGGCGGCATGGGCCAGCCCGGCATGGGTGGCCAGCCCGGCCGCTACTAAGCGGCTGACTGTCTGTACACGGCAGCGGCGAGCGGAGTGTGGTAGTGAGCCAGCAGTAGCAGAAGTATAGGAAGAAGACAGAAGTTATGTACCAATGACGGCGACGGCGATGGCGACAGTACTGACAGCGACGGCAATGGTGCTCCGCGTTTCACGGTCGTCGTGGGAGGGGGAAGAATATGCCCGCGAAGAATCAGAGCAGTCACATGCTCTTGGGTTTGCAGCCCGGCCCGTGACCCAGATAAGCGCACGTAGAGTGGGAAGCGGTCGGCATGGGCTGTGGGCGTTGGAGACGGCAGGCAGTGGCCGCTACGTCATCGTTCCACTGTTTGGGAACAGTAGACGTGGCAGCGGGAGTCGAGAGGCGGCGGGAGTCAAGTGGCAGGGCAGGAAGCTTGCGTCTCCAGAGTCTTTAGTCTCTCGCGGATCGCGGAGGACTAGTTTGCAGGACTTTTGAGATCTTCAAATGAATGCCGAGGGGCGTGACTGCGCGACGATGTATTATTATCTATTGGCGTTATCTAGATGGCGTGATTGCCGACCCTCCACGCCGTTATCTCGTCCAATTCTTCGTGCATGGACCCCGCTCGCACCTGACCACGCAAAGTCGTCGGAGAACTCTTCGGACGCAGCCTCGGCGCATGCGACCAGGCTCATCGCCGACGCCAGCAGCCCATGATGGGCTCATGGTGGCCCACGATGGCAAATGGCGGATAAACTTGGGTGGGCAGCCTCCACCTCGGCCCAGCTTGCCCGGGCATCGATGCGTGGGCGAGCCATGATCCGTAAGAACAAGAACAAGAACAAGAACACGAACACACATCCTCTGCTCTACACTCATCATGATCGTCAAGGCTGCTGCTGTGCAGGCGTCCCCCGTCTCGTTCGACCTCGTCAAGTCTGTCGACAAGGTTGCGCGCCTCGTCGCTGAGGCGGCGGGGAATGGCGCCCAGCTGATCGTGCTGCCTGAGGCATTCCTCAGCGCCTACCCCCGTCACTTCAGCTTCTCGGTCGGATACCGCACGGAAGACAACCGCCAGTGGTACAAGAAATATGTCGAAGTAGGTGTGATTGAACTGGTCGGGTCAAGAGGCCGAGGGAGGGCGCCGCCACCTGGTGGAACCTCCGCTAACCCTCACTGAGTCCCGCTGACCCCAGTCCGCCGTCAAGATCCCCGAGGACGCGCTGACGCACGACTGGGCCACGTCGGCGCCGGAGCAGGCTGAGGGCGACGACTTCTGGGCTTTCGCCCGTCTCTGCGCAATCGCCAAGGAGCACGGCGTGTTCCTCAGCGTCGGCATCATCGAACGCAGCCTGATCGGGAGCACCGTGTGGTGCTGCAACGTCGTGTTCGGACCCGACGGGCGGCTGCTCAGCAAGCACCGCAAGCTCAAGCCCACGGGTGCTGAGCGCATGATCTGGCATGAGGGCGATGATCTGAACCCGGCGCGCGACGCCTCCGGTGCCGTGGTGGAGGGCACCGATAACATGCCCGTTGTTCCTACTGCGATCGGGCGCATCGGCGGGGTGATTTGCTGGGAGAGTGAGTCCGCCGGCTCGGTGTTGAATAACACAGCTAATGGCAGACTACATGCCCCTTGCGCGCTACGTGCTCTACAAGAAGGGCGTGGAGCTGTATCTCGCGCCGACCGCCGACGGGCGCCCTACGTGGCTGCCCAGCATGCAGCATGTCGCGCAGGAGGGGCGCTGCTTCGTCGTCACCGCCAACCAGTACCAGGAGGCGAGCGACTTCCCTGCCGACTACCCTGCGCCGGCGGACGCCGACAAGGTCTGGTGTCGCGGGGGCAGCGCGATCGTCGACCCGCTCGGCAACGTCCTCGCCGGCCCGCTTTGGGACGAGGAGGGCATCGTATATGCTGACGTGAGTGTTGAGAAGAGCATCGCTCATGGCAGCTTGACATGGGCCGCATCCATGCGACCAAGGTCGACTTTGACCCCGTCGGGCACTACTCGCGCGAGCCGCTGCTCAAGCAGATGCTCGACAAGCTGTGGTAGAGGAGATGTATCAGAAGGAAATGGGCGCATGACGTCATGCTTCGGCGATGAGCGATGGGTGGATGTTGAGCGACTGTCGATCCGTGGCAGTTGTTACAGTCGCCGCAGAGCTAGTCGAGCTACGTTAATTCAGCTTCTGCGGGACATCGGGAGCCCACGGGCACAAGCCATGCCGTTGAGGCGGCTCCTGGCGAGCGGTTCATGTGACATGCCGCATTCCTCACGAAGTCACAGCGCGACTTGAGACTGTCCCACTCCACTGTTCCCACACAACCTGAATGCTGGCAGTTCTTCTCCTCATCGGCGCGGCGGCGGCGCCGCTGCAGCCTCTTCGACCGCCGGACACCGTTGTGCGCAACCTGACGCACATGAGCCCGCTGCTCACCTACGACGGCGACGTAGACTATGTCTTCGGGCCGCCGCGCACCCCCGACGGTTCTATGGCGGAGGACATCTCCTTCTCGCACCATATCCTGAAAGAGGGAGCCAGCGCCGAATTCGTCTTTGCGGGCTCGGCCTTTTTTGTGAACGGCTGGGCGGACGCGGTGCTGCGTGTAAGCGAGTATCCGCTCCACGGGGCGTCGGCCGGGCGCGCGCAGTGGTGGCACGTCACGGAGGAAGCGCGGGAGGTGCGCGAGCGCACGCTCGTCGCTGTCCTAGGGAACGACGGGCCCCGCCGCGTCCGGCTAGACGTCACGAGCGGCGAGGTGTGGCTCAGCCGCGTGGTCACGCACACCGATGTCCCGTGAGCTCTATGGCGGCACTGCTTACGCCAGACCCAGCACGCAGTGGGGCGCTCCCCACTGGCCGATTATGGACGGCTGGCGTGGCGTGCGTGAGCGCATGGGCGCCGTCGTCAAGGGGATCTGGCGCGAGACGTACGTCGATTTCGCGGATATCGGGGGTGAGTGATTCCGTGTGTGCGCTGACGACAGTCGAACAACCTGTGGCGTGGGGCCTTGGATCGTACGATACGCCTGAGGACGAGGACGACGACTACGCCCACGTCACACTGAGCCCCGCGCTGGGCGCTAGCTGCGTCGAGCTCCGGGGGGCGACTCCGCTGCCGTCAATGGGTGAAGGGCGGTACCGCGTCCTAGTCGATCCGCCGCTTGCGGGACATAGCGAGGTTTGGCGGCGCGTGCATCCCGTCGGGCCGACGCCGGCCGACATCGTACTCTTCTCTGCGGTACTCGACCCCTCCATGGCGTTCACCGTGACGCTTCAGTTGCAGGGCGTCGGGTGGCACTGGGCGAGCGCGTGGTTCCTTGCAGAGATGGGCGTTCAACCCCTCCCACCGTGGATCGGGCGCGGGGGGCGCGTGCGCCGGGTCTTTGACCCAGTGAGGGGGCACATTGTCCTTGCGCTCTCATGTACAATTGCCGTCGCCACGATCGTGCTTGGCTTCGTGCTAGCTTGCCGGCGTGTGCGGACGGTCGACGCTGAGCGGACCCCGCTTCTGGACGGCTGAGAAGAGCTGCGTTTAGGGCCATCCATCATCACAATCAGATTGTACATACTACAATGCGATAGTCCCCCGCCACCCTCGTACTTTCTCCTGCTTCACAGTGCGTACCGTGTCGAGGGCCCACCGCGCCTCGCCGACTTGGGCGCGGTATTCAGCGTTCGTGAGGAAGCGCAGCTGATGACCCCCAATGGCCGCCACGCGTTCCTCCACCGCTTCAGGCCGAAGCCACTCAGAGCATCGGCGGCGTATCCACTTGATGATGTTGTGCGTCACGGCCGCGGCAAACTCATCGTGCGTGCGGCCCTCGTCATGCGAGAGCCCGCAGATCTGGTGGGGGATCTCAGATGCCCCGACAACTGTCCACGATGTAGTACGATTCGTGCTGATCATGTCCGCCACGTCCCGAAGCAGGCCGACCCTGCCCACCCTATCCTTCCTCCACGCTTTGTTGGGCGCGACGAGTGTCCCCGGCGTGGGCTCGAGGATGATGACACCGGTGCCCCCCCGCATCCTGCGATCCAGGCCCGACAGCTCGACTCTACACTCGGGGAGGTCGGGGCGTGCGCAGTCCAAGCGCGCATGGAACACGGCGCGCCGCACATGCGGATCATGCAAGAAGTTCATGTCCGGAATCCACCAGTCGTAGCGGCCGCGGCGGCCGTAGTTGCTGGCGCCGCCGGTCTGTTGGAAACTCGTGAACACGACTACGTCTTCGCACGGTAGCCACAGCTGCTCCTTCTGGTACAGAAAGACGCGGACGGTCGCGGCCGGGAACAAGTTCGTGTGGTGCATCAGGTGCGCCGAGCAATTCCACAAGTGGATGTCGAGCACGCGCGTGTGCGCAAAGTATGCAAGCCACCGCGCACGCAGCGCGGTGCACTGCGCACCGCAGCTGTCGCTGCCGATTCCATGCCAGGTGTCGTCGTGGTTCAGGTCGCATACCCAGCCGGGGAGGGCGCCGTGCGCCGACGCGACGTGCACCCGGTCCTTACCCGGCAACTGTACTGTGGGGCCGAGCGGGAGGTGCGGCGCCCCCGCGGCCCACTTCTGGCCTCTCGGCGGTCGGAGTCCACGGCCGAGCACGATGTGGCGCGCCAATAACGCGTCGCATCGCTCTTGCAGGTCCCGGGAGGCCGCGCGCAACGCGAGAAGGCCGCCGTGTGGCGCATAAAACACGATGCGATCAAAAATGTGCGGGAAGGCAGTGTAGTTGATCTGCGTAGCAGTTGTCGGCTTGACCTTTGCGGTCTTCGCGGTCTTCGCGGTCTTCGCGGTCTTCCGGGTCTTCTTGATTGGCGCGGCCTTGGTAGATGCGGACTTGGCCGCGGTCTTCTTGACAGGAGGGAGCTTCGCGGCAGCTTTGGCCACTGCGGACTTGGCCTTGGGAGCCTTCGCCGTGCTCACTCCCACAGCCGCTGCTTTGCCCCTGCGCGTCGCAGATGTTTTCTTGCGGTCGGGCTTGCTGTTAGTCTTCGGAGGTGCATCCGCGGCGGGAGCGGAAGCGTTCACGGCTGCAAGCTTTCGCGGACGCCGAGTGACGACCATGGTGAGATGGGGAACGCATCAAATTGGATCATGAGGTGCGGGGTTTTATTGTTGTTGTGTGCAACAGTCGAGTCAACTCCGCTGCGGAATGAGTCCAGATGACTCTGACGTCCCCCAGGATAACGGACCAGGTGTCTCAACGTTGAGTAACCTTTGCACGATCTTGCCCGCATGCATTTTGAACGGAGATTTCTTGAACAGAGCTTATGCACTGTGCACGCTACCTCTCGTAGCGAGTTCGCCATCCATTGACTCGAGTCATGAGCTGAGCTGGGTGAAACAGCAAACACTCCACCCCAATCGCCTCCCCCGTTCCTCGTCACGATCTAAATGCATTCCACTCGCTTCACGATATCACCACGCCGTCGTCTACTTCTATCCTCACATAGTCAGAGTCACAGTACGGATCACGTGCACATCGATGCCATGCCGCCCCGCAGCCAGCCGCCTACACAGCTGTCTTTCTTAGTTCTTTGGCTGCATGAAGTCGACGATAAGGTCAAGGCAGGCCAGGTCGTCGTCGTCGGCGGTGTACGCGCGGACGTTGACTACAAACTTTGCTGCAAGTTAGCAACGCTTATGCACGTGAACGCACCCTTGGGGATCTCCTTGGGGAGGTCAACCTTCTGCACAACAGTGTAGTCGCCCTTCTCGACAGGGCACTGCACGCTCGCGTTGGCGTTACGTCTTCCGTTAGTCACTCGGTAGAGATGTAAACACTCACGCCTCCTCGCACAGGTCAAACTGCTTCTGGAGCAACTTGATCAAGCCGAGCTTGACCGTCACGTCGGCGTACGCGCCTTCCTGTGCGTTAGCATTGGATGCGCAGGGTGTAGGTCGCGCGTCAAAGCAGTTGCGCCCTCCCTTCCTCTCCCCGCGACCGCCGTGCACAGCAGACCTACCTCAATCTTCTCAATAGCCGAAGCCTTGACCTTGACTTCGAGCGCCTTGCCCGGCTTGGGCGGGTCGGGCGTGAGCTCGATGCTCTCGATTTGGCTGGCGTCAGCGTTGGGTGGCAAACATGTGGCCAAACACAGCGCGTGTGACTTGTCACGTACAGCGGGTCTGTGGGGAGGCCTGCGGTCAGCAATGTAAGCGGTACAACCACCCACCGCAGTCAACGTAGCGCCACGAGTCAAAGGTGTACACGGGGCCGTCAGTCGGGAACTGGACGTTGCCGCCGAGGACGTCGGCGACGAGGCCCAGAGCTTCGTCCGCGATGCCGGCCGATACGGGGATGGCGAGGGCGGGGAGGAGAGCGAGGAGGGAAAAGCGCATGCTGGGCGTGCTGAAGATGGACGAGTAAATGCGGAGAGCGAGAGAGATGGGCGAGATGGTGATCAGACGAGACGCAGCGCGAGTGCGAGTGGGGCCATGACGTCTCAATGGCATGCCGTGGGGGGGCAATCGCCAGGCACACTCTACGTTTGATCCCGTTGTGGCGGCATCTCGATCATCTCAGCACCATATTACATGAAAGTTGAATGCATACAATTGACGAATGCGTCTATTTGTCAAATCTATCAATGAGTTTGTGAGCAGGTGCGTATGCCAGCGAGCCAGAGTCCAAGTCCGGAGCCATGTCCATGTTCGAGGGTTCAACCGCGCGCCATCTAAGGCACAATCATTTGCGCGCTGCGCTCATCGCGCGTATTGCAACGCACCGGTGCAATGCCGGGGCACGTGGGCGATGCCGCACGCGCAGGCGGTACGCTGCGGTCGAACTGGTCCTCGAGCTCGTCCTTTTCTTCGATGGGGCCGAGCTCGGGGTCGCCGCGCTCGCGCTTCGCCGTCGTTGCGCGCACAATCTCCTCCATGTGGTCGTCCGAGTCGCGCCCGCGCTGCGTAATGCGCCGGATGCGCCGGCCGTACTTCATGAGAATGAGCGGGACGGGCACGAAAATGAGCGAGAGGAAGGCGACGAGCGTAGATGCCCAGTTGATGCCGAGCGCCTCGTACATCTCCACGGTGCACAGCGGGAGCACGACGCCCATGATGGAGCGCACGACGGTGCCGCCCGCCAGGACAGAGGCCGCGTTGTGGCAGAACATGTCGACGAGGTAGTTGTTGCACGCGAGAAAGATGAGGACGAGGCCCGCCCCATAGGGCACGGTCGCACCGATGGGCACGATCCAGTGGATCGAAATGGGCACGCACGTCCACGCGAAAATGAAGAGACCGATAGGCAGGAGAATGGCTCCGATAAGACCAGTCGGCAATCGCGCCTCAGGCGGCAGCGCACCCTTTTCCTCCAGCTCGCGAGCGTACTTCGGGTTGCCCGCAAAGATCATGTATCCCAGTGCGGTGTTGGAGCCGACGGCGATACCGATGAAAGCGAGCGCTGCGATACCAGGCGACCAGCCGCGCGCGCCCTGGAACACGAGCGGGAACGATGCTGAGGTTAGCAGAGTGGCATGTACAAGAGAGGTGACTTACTGAACTGCATGTAAAGCAGGCCAAAAATCACCGCCATGTAGATCGAGAACACGAAAACGATCGGCTCGGTAAACAAGAGGATGTAGGGCATCTTGAACTGGTTGATGACGAGGTCGCGGTGGTTTAGAGGCTTAATCACGTCGTCCTCGCACTTGTACACACGCCCCGTTGCAGCCGAAAGCTTGAGCGCGCGCTCCCGCAAAAGCACAGGTCCGTATGTCTCGGGGATGTACACGATATGCACGATTGTGAGCGCGCCAGCGAAGAACGCCGCGACGGCCGCCACCCAGCGCCAGCCTTTAGCGTACGAGAGAAAGCCGCCACAGATAGGCCCGACGACGGGCCCGAGCCACGGCATGACGCCGAACACGCCCATAGCGAGTCCTCGATCCGAGCTCTCAAACATGTCACTGATCAGACCTCCGGCGCTAGTCATGGACGAGCAGCCGAACGTGCCAGCCAGAAAGCGGAGTACCAGCAGCGCATTCAATGTTGGTGCGCCGCACACGCCGGCATCGAACGCCGTGAGCGGGATGAATGTGAGGATGTATGTTGCGCGGCGCCCATAGACCTCCGAATATGGCGCCCACAGGAACGGCCCTAGCACGAAGCCCAGAATATAGATGCCGGTCACTAATGTCAGTCTGGAAGCCGGACAAGGCCGTGCCCTGAACAATTCGGCGCCCGGGACTCACCCATGATGTACATCTGATCGTTGTGGTCTGGAAAGTCGCTGCGGATGCTGCCCATAGCAGCGGAGAGGACTGACGAGCCCATCGTGACGGCCAGTGTCCCCATCGCGGCTGACATCAGCGCTGGTCCAACGTCCGAGCTGTGTAGCCCATGCCGTGCCGTGCCGTGCCGGGGTCGCGGCCAGAATTTTCGTGCAACTCACCCATGATTGTCAACGTCCACTTGTAGAGTGGTGTCCACCGATATGGGTTCTCAGTGTCGTTTGGGAGCCACACCACGACGTATGGATCTTCGGGTGTGCCGGCGCCCTTGTACTCGTGCGCGACGATGGTACGCCAGTCCATTGGCGTCCTGCGCCATGGGCGGCGCCGCAGCGTAAGGTCGCCCCCGTCTTCTCGCATCCCGTCGTCCGGGATATATCCCACGATCGTCTTGACGTCGGCGCTCGATGCGCTCGAGGCTGTCCCCGGCGTGGGCGGGACATCCATAGTTGATAGAAGCAAGCAAGAGCAATGTCGAAATGAAATCAGAACACGTCGAGATGCTCTGCATGCATCTAGACGTTGACAAGGGCCAGGTCCCATGCTTGCAAAGCAAGGCAGATTTCTGGGTGACGGGCTTGGCGCCTGGAGCCGGTTACCCGATCGGCCATGTCCGAATGTGGTCACGGCATGCCGCCACCTGCCGACCGCCAGCCCGCAGCCCCATGACTCAAGCCGCAGGACATTGGGCCCGCAAATAAATTGCTAGTCCGGCCGCGTATAGCCCTAGGCTTTGGGCTGCATGGGTGGCGGCGGGCCACAGGGTCGCGTCTCGGTGAAATCCGCCGTAGCTGCGCTGCTGCGCTTGTGGGGCCGTGGCGGCTTCGGAGGATGAAATCAAAAGTCATGTGCCTGCCAAGCGGTACAGTGTGCCGGGGGCAAGACGGTGAGGCCAGGCAGGCCCTGTTCAACATTGCTTGTCCTGAAAAAGCATCCACGCTGGCCCGTCGCGTTTCCGCGAGGCGATCTCCTCATCATGGGGCATTCTGTCGCGCCACTGCTGACCAAGTTTCTGGTCAGGAATGTTTCGTCGATCCGCGCTGCGTCCAGGCCACTTAGTCTGTGATGCTTTGTCATGCGCGTCTCACGTGCAGACGCCGTGGCGTACCCGTCGGGCTATCGACACGGGTCCGTGCAGTCTTTTGTGCGGGGTCATGGGCGTTTGTACTTGCGGATGCTTCGCGTCGTCTCCTAGGTGCGACAGCTTTCGGCCTTACAACCCCTGCATACCTTGACGGACACCGATGGTGTCAATCTTCCCGCCCTCGCGAAGTTCACGAGTTCCTTCGAGAGCATACTCAATTATTAAAAGAGGAAGTGGAGCTCTTTGCTCGCTCCCAACGGCGTGGGATGTCGAAGGTGCCCCATCGCTCACAGTCGGCTTGGAAGACATGCGGGTATTTGGGCAGAGTGAGACTCGTAGTCTTTGAAAGAGCAAATGGTAGCAGTGACGCGAAGTTGGCCCCATCGTATACCTCGCCATCACGGGAGAGTCTTGACGGCGGAGGATTTGAGAGGAGCTGAGCGGCGAGAATTCCAACGAAACAGTCAGTAAGCGCAGTGAGAGCTGGACGAGATCAACTTCGAGCGGTGGACTCCAGTTGGAGCGTGATCCTTGCTCCCAGATAGCATCCATTCGACCCAGAGTGGCGGAGGTGGCCCCTGCTGCCGGATATTCGCGCAGGCGGAGTGCCAAGAAGGGAGTGCGTAACTCCGCGAGGGCACTCTAGAGATGATGCCAAGGCCTTTCAATCAGTTTCTCAACCTCAATTGCCATCTCTGGTTACATGACGATATCCGGAGAGGCATCAAGGAGGTCCAGCAAGAGAGAGAGAGGCAGAGAGGAGAGTTGGGAAGCGCCTCGTGATGAGCCACACGCCAATTCGGCGAGCCTCCCACTTGGCCCGACGCGACATAGCGTCCAGTCGTATTTTGGGAGTCTCGAGTTTCTGGCATTTATGAGCGGTGAAGCGAGTCTCTGGAAAATCTTTTGCGATGCGTTGATACCTGGTGGAGGGATGCGATCTGTCTAGGGTGGCTGTTCTAGCCGATCGGTTTGAGTATTGACTTACTCGTGTTGTCCTCCCAGATCCACCTACGTGTCGATTCACTCGATCCCCCAAGCGCCATGTGTTGAGTCGTCATCGTTATGTGGTACATCTACAACAATATGTCGAAAATTAACACTCCACTCCTACTTCTTGCGACCCTTGCGCTCGCGCTTGCCGTCGCTCGATGTGAGGCCCAGTGTCTTGACGCACTCTGGGCAGTACCACGTCTCGGGTAGTGGCGCGGTGAGATTGACGCACTTGATGTGGAACTGACGTCAGCCGGTTCAACCGGTTGGCTTACCCATTCATACTTGCACTTGTCGTTGTCGCATCCGATCATCTCGCCAAAGCTCTTCTGCTGGCAGAAACAGTAGAGCTGGTCATCCGCTTCGACTTCGGTGCCGTCAATGATATCGACCTCCATTTCCATATCTGGCACAGGTTCGGGTTCGACGCTCATTGCAAGGCTATGCCCGCGCCCACGCCCGCGCGAGCCAGCACGGCTGCGCGCCCCGCTCTGGCTTCGCGGGAGGGGTGGGGGCGGCATGCTCCCCTGCCGTGGCGAGTTGGATGCACTGAGTACGCCGAACCCAGCGCTAATCTGCGCCGCGAGCGGTGTCGCCTTCTTCGATCGCTTAGTGGGCGCGGGCATTCCCTCAGGCGTAGCGACCTTGATCTCGAGGCCGTCCTCGTCAACGTCCATCCCGCCTACCCGCCGCCACTCCGCTCGCCCCCTCTCCCTCGCGCGCGAGACGATGCGCTCTAGCCTCTCCGCGAGCCGCACCTTATCTTCCTGGAGCTGCTGAATCTTAGCCCACTCGGCCTGGATTTTGGCGACGTTCTGCGCATCCTTAGTCGACAGGTGCGCGGTGGGGATCGGCGCGCCTGGGGGAATTGGCAGAGGGAATGTCGCGGTCGCCGGGGTTGTGGTCGCGTTAATGTTCTTGACGCCCTTGGTAAGGCCAACGTGCCGCTGGTTAGCGCGGTTGAGATGTTCTGAAGTCAGAGGGTCAGTGGTGCAACGCACGGGAGATGCGTTCGTCCTTGTCCCTGATCTCGGCCAAGAGGAACGCCACCTCGCCAGGCAGATTGTCCAGGCCTCAGTGTCAGTCCCTCCAGTGAGGCTACGCACTCTGCACGAACTCGGATGCAGCGATCGCCGCCTCTTCTGCGTTGAAGTGGGGGTGAACGTGGAGGGGGAGGGAGGACATTGTGAGATGAGATGAGAGAGAGATGGAGAGAGAGAGCAGTGCCAAGTGGAGCTTTGTAGAGTGGAGAGCCTCCACCGGCCTCAAAATGACCCGAACATTATTTTCCATGTTTATGAGACATTTATTCAGTGGGGCTCCGGGGGGATCGACCGGATAGTTGCTCCGCATCAGCTCTCACTTCTCACAGATATCCCACTCGTGCACTTCCCATCTCTTGTTCAACCCATCGCTCCTCTCTCTTCGATGCCTGATAGAATCACAGTCGCTGCACTCTCCTGCCATCTCGCTCACGGTGTCGGTCCCTCCGCTTTCGGCCTCACCCCGCCTCCTCCCTGTCCAATCGAGCTCGAGCTCGACATCGACCTCCTCCCCACTGTCGTCCCACACTGCGTCGACGAGGACGACATGCGGGGACTTGGCGTGAATTACTCATCTGTGTCCAAGGCTGTGTATGCAGCCGTGGCTGACCCCGCTCGCGTCTGGCCCAATCCTTCGGCAATCTTGCGAGAAGCCGCCATCGTCGCCCTCAGGCTACCGGCTGTCGCCGGCGTCACGGTCCGCGCACGCCTCCCCCGCGCCCTCCTCCAGGCTCAGTCCGCAGACTACACCCAATACTTCCCCCGTGTTACATCGCCAGCATCCATGCCTCCTCCAACATGCACGATTCGAGACCTGCGCGTAGCTTGTGTCATCGGGCTGCATTCGCACGAACGAGCGGAGCGGCAGCGGCTCGAGGCGGACATCACTGTCGACGGGTATGAGCCAAAGGGATGGAGCCACCGAGATCTGGCGGATCAGGCATTTACAGTAAGGGCAGTGTGGAGCGCATCGCTGACAGCAGTGGCTGGAGAAGTCCGAGTTTGGCACTCTCGAGTCGCTCGTCGACTCGTTCGCCCGGCACCTTCTGTCCTTGCCCATGCTGTCAGCCCCCGACGCTCGCGTCGACGTAACGCTCCGCAAACCTTCGGCGCTTCCATTCGCGACGCCCGTCATCCGCGCCTCGCGTACTGCCGCATCGTTCACAAAGCGTGGCGGCGTTTACCCTGTCGGCACTCGCTTCCATTCCACAATGGCCGCAATTAAGGCCGAGCCGCCCCGAGTTTTCATCGCGGTTGGCTCCAACCTAGGCGACCGCGTAGGCTACGTACGACGCGCCGTACGTCTCCTTCAGGAGGGTGGGTGCAGGCTGGTGGACACCAGCCGGCTCTACGAAAGCGAGCCGATGTATGAAGAGAACCAAGAGCGGTTCCTCAACGGCGCCATCGAGGTGAGTGACCTCAAGGCCACGGCTTACGCAGATCCAAACGTCTCTCAAGCCGCTTGAGCTTTTGCGGCTGCTGAAGCAGACTGAGCTCGAGGTCGGGCGCACCAAGACGTATCGTAACGGACCACGGGTCATTGACCTGGATCTCATCGCCTACGGCGACGAAGTGGTGCACATCGGCGAGCCAGGAGACGAGCCGGACGAGGACGGCGTCGGATGGCTCACAGTACCTCACGCCTCGCTTGCTGAGCGCGAGTTTGTGCTCCGCCCACTGGCAGAGTGAGCGACTCGCATTACTTCGCTAACAGCAGCATCGCGGCCGACTTCACCCCTCCGGGCCTCTTGCCCATCTCCGAGCTCCTAGCTCGCGCCCCACCTGGCGGCCTCGAGCCCGTCATCCCCTTCCCCTACCCGGCGCGCCCTCTGCGCCTCACAACCCCCTCAACGCCCGCCATCATGGCGATCTTCAACGCGACCCCCGACTCCTTCTCCGACGGACACGCATCACGCACGGAAACGACGCACGCGCTGCGCGCCTGCGAAAGCATGATGGCGCAGCCGAACCCGCCGGCCATAATCGACATCGGGGGCATGTCGACGCGCCCGAACTCGGAGCCATGCACGGCGGAGGAGGAGCTGTCGCGCGTCATCCCGCTGCTCGAAGCGGCGCGCGCGAGCCGCGCGCTCGCGACCGTGCCGCTCTCAGTGGACACGTACCGCGCGTCCGTGGCGTGCGCGGCCGCGTCCGCCGGCGCGAGCTGCATCAACGATGTGCGTGGCGGCCGCGAGCCCGGCATGCTGGCAGCAATGGCGGAGGCCGACATGCCCGTCGTGCTCATGCACAGCCGCGGCGACGCGGTGAGCATGCTCGCCCCCGCGAGCCAGACGTACGCCGCCGGCGTGCTCGCCGGCGTGCGGGCCGAGCTCGCCGCCTCTGTGGCGGCCGCGAAAGCCGCCGGCGTGAAGCGCTGGGATATCGTGCTGGATCCCGGGCTCGGGTTCGCCAAGTCGCACGACGACCACCTCCGCCTCCTCCGCGACATAGGGGCGCTCGCAACGCACGAGCTGGCCGGATACGCACTCCTCGTCGGCGCGAGCCGCAAGGGTTTCGTTGGCCGCGTGACCGGACGCAGGGTGCCGGCGGAGCGCGGCGCCGGCGACGCCGCCGTCAACGCCCTCTGCGCTATGAGCGGCGCCGTCGACGTCCTCCGCGTACATGAGCCGCAGGCGGCGGCTGAGACCGTCATGATGGCCGTAGCCGTCCGCGACGTCAAGTAATGCATGCATGAGTATGGGCTATGCGTCAGGTGCGAGCTTTCCCTTCTGTCAGCACTGGAGGCGCAGGGCTTACAGATCCGCTCGGCGCTGTGGCAGATGCACTCGACGCCGGTGTTGCAGGGGCGCAGCGCGCCGCCGCCGTAGGCGAAGCACACCCAGTGGCAGGACTCGGCTGTCCACAGTCGGCAGCCGCGGCTGCGGGAGTCGCTTGGGGTCGGCGCCGCAGTAGCCAGAGTGAAGAGAAGGATGAGTGGGAGGAGTTTCATCTTGTGAGAAGATTGTGAGCAGTACGCAACTGTTCAGCATTATATGCGGCATCCGACATGGGAACGATTAGATTTGGGTTACAGTTGGGTTCACTGAGGCTTGCGGGCAAAACTGTGTCGGGCCGAGCTTATCGTCAAGGTTGGGCATCTCCCGAGCAAATATGTCTCAATCTGGTCATGGAACACGCAATGCCAAAGCTTCTACCCTACTCGATCCTTGCGCGTGGTGGGGGCCGCGGCCCCATGACCCACAGCCCGGCAATCATGGCGGCGTGCGCGATGAACATGAGCGCGCTAGAGCGCGGCGTGGCGGGGTACGTGTCCCATGCCTTTTCGAGCATGGCGGGGATGCCGAGGCTGGCGTGAGCAGACTCCAGCGTGAGACACTTACATGAGACCCCACTGGCCCCAGCCGCCGCCAAAGTACAGCAGAAACGGGAGCTGGTGGAAGTACCACGTGTGGAACTGGTAGTGGAGGGATCGGGCGCAGGCCATACCGATGAGATTGGAGGAGAAGAGAACGAGAGGGAGATGCGAGGACGACAGCTGGCCAGGGGGTACGGCGGGCTTGAACATTCCGCGGAGGGTGTGGAGGCCGTTCGTGAGGACGGCGCGCGTGCCGCCTGGTACGGGACACCAGCGATAGAGACCGAAAAGAATCAGCAGGGCGGCGTGGCAGCCAAGAAGGGCACGACCGAACGCCCGGGAGAGGAAGATGTGCTCGGGCACGAAGCGCCAGTTCACTGTCCACTGATAGAGGAAGGAGCGGGAGAAGTCGAACGCGCTGGCGAAGTAGACGCGGAGTTGGGCGGGCGTCTCGAAAAATGAGTATCCGCCAAGACCGAGCTGCACGAAGCCGATTATGATCAGGCTGTCCAGAGTGCCCACAGCACCTCGGGACTGGAAGAGCACAACGAGAAGGCCGGGAAGGAAGAGAAGGATGTTCATCTTCACTCCGAGGGCGAGGGAGAACAAAAAGCTGCCGATCTTCCAGTACTCGAGCTGAAGAGCGACGACGGCGGCGTAGAGTGGCAGCATTGCAAGCGGGTCGTTGAACAGGCGGAGAAGGTAGATCGAGTGGGACCGCTTCGAGAGCACCAGAGGGAACAGGAGCCATTGCGGTATATGTCGGTCTCGGCCGGCGAGGTAGTACACTGCCGCGGCCAGTAGAAGAGTGGCCTGCTCTACGGCAAGCCAGATCCACTGAGCCGCACGCTCGCGCGGCACGGGGAGGAGCTGATGGAGCGCAGTGTAAATGTAGAGGTGGAGAGCGGGGTAGACGAGTGGCCCGGTCTCGCCCTCGATCTTGCTGTAGTCACGTTCTCCCGCAAGAAACATGTCCACCTGTTGCATGTACGCGGGCCAGTCGATCTTGGTGTCTGGTGTGAGCGGGGTGCCGTGACGGCGCAAGCGTACAGGGCACACGGAGGATGATTGCCGTGCCGAGCACGAGGTTGAAGGCCGTGAGGAGGAATGCGAGAGGCCAAAAGTGCGAGCGGTCGAAGAGGAGAGATTTTGTTGTGCCGACGGGGTCGCGGAGGGCACGGACGGGGAGGGAGAGGAGAGTGGAGAGGGCAGAAGAGGAGGGCGTGAGGGTAGAGGAAGAGGAGGAGGAGGGCGCGGGCGCGGGCGGGGGCGCGGGAGCGGGTGCCGTATCAGAGACAGCAGCAGGCTGCTGCTGATTTTGCGACTGCTTCGCTGCTAGTCGTCTTGTTGGCGGCATCGTGAACGAGCGTGAGGAAACAAGATACAGAAGAGGAGAGGAGAAGAGGAACAGGACGCAAAGGCGGAGTGGTTCATTGGTGTACCTCCACTTCCGCCAAAGAGCTACGTGCCAGACGGGGCACCACACAGATTTGCTCCCGTTGCCGTCTGATTGTGGAAACGACCTCATCACCTCCTCCATTCAACTCTTCCTCACCACTTCTGACACCCCGCCCGCGCCATGGACAGCATCGAGACCCAGTCGCGCTCGGCGCTGGCTTCTGGGAGTATTGGCGCGCGCTTTATCTCCCAGAATGCCGTTGATGAGGCAAAGGAGCGTCGCGAGGAGGAATGGAAGGCAGCTTACGAGCGGTGCGCCTTGTATTTAGAACGGCGCTTACGACAGGATCGGACAGGAGCCGCCACCCGAGATCAAGGAGGAGGAGCACGATGGAAGGACGCTTTACGAGCGACTCGAAGAGCAAAAGGTGCGCGGATAGGGAGGCGAGACTAACCACAGCAATTGAAGCAGGATTGGTGGGATGACCGCATGAAGATGAAGAACCAGTACCGCGGGCTGGTGGGAGAAGAGTTTGAGTTTTTGGCGGAGAAGGAACGCGAGAAGCGCGATGCAGAACGCAGGATCGAGGAGGAGGTCACGACTGAGCTGCAGGGGTATCGGGAGTGAGTTGTCAGGCCTAAACTGAATGAGATAAGAGAGCACTAATGAACAGAGCCCGCTCAAAGCGCGCCGCCGACGCTGTGGCGGCCACGGAACCGCAGGCTGCTCCGAGCTCGGTACCGAAGCCTCCGTCCAAGAAGGTGGCGGCGCCCGCGAAGCCGGCCAAGAAGGACTTGCGATCGCTGATGAAGGGTGTTGTGGTGAAGAAGAAGGCCGCCAAGCCCGCCGACAAGGCTCAGGAGAAGGATAAGAAGCGACCGGCCGAGGATGACGGGCGCGAGGCTAAGCGCCGTGCATGAGCGTGGGCGAGGGTGAAGGTGAGTCAATGGTGTGCGCCGGCCAAGATCCGGATATGGCGGATGGCGGAGGAAGCAGCGCCGATATCTCAGAGGTGTACAACCGAGGAGGCGTGCGCCACTGTTCGCACCCAACGGCCCGCGGCCAACGAGTACATCCCTCATTTTTGGACGTCGCGGCGCGCGTCGCGTCCGGATCCGCGACGGCGTTTCTCACGGCAGTCTGGCCCGACGAGATATGGCGATAGCGAGCCGCCGTGAGATGAGATAACGCAGCGATGGAGGAGTGGCGTGCCACGGTGCGGGAGTGTGCTTCGCGGCGGCGTGACTAGAAGTTATCTGTTGTAAACAGGTGCATGCCTGATGCCTGAGGATGGGAGCGCCGCAGGGTGGATGGCTGAGGGTCGAGGTGCGAGGAGCACGGGGGCGGCGATGAGCAGCAGAGCCTCGAGTCGATCGAGCAAAAGGGCAGAGTGCTCGAGCGTGAGCGAGGAGAGACGGGCCGTGCGGAGAGAGGTCAGGCGAGGCCGAAGGAGAGGGGGAGATGGGTGCGAGAGTCCGAGGGGCTGTAGTAGATCTGTGGGGCTGCAGGTGCAGGCGACGTGTGCATGATCACATGCAATCGTGCACTTGGGCACTCGCATCGTTCACTGGGCTGATCGACAATGCACAGCTCGCCGTCGGTGGTGAGCGCCTGTGGCCTTAGGCCCGTCCTCCTTACCGCACTGGCTCTTGAGCTCGTGACCCGTGCGAGTCGTGCGAAGCGAAGTGTGGCAACGAGGGCAACGAGGGGTGCCATGGGGGTGGCGCAGTTCGAGGTCACCGCGCCGGCGGCAGTGCAAGAGTAGCATGCCTCCGCACGGCACGCTCGGCGCTCGCGGATAACGAGGGGGGAGGCGATGAGCTGAAGAGAGGAATGGGAGGAATCAAGGTCACACGAGCGCCACCGATCCATCCATCCACCGTTTGACTGAGACGCTTTGGACGCCATGGACGCCCTTGGCGTCGTCGACGCCCTGCTGCCCCTCGAGGGTGACCACTCTTCGCTTCGAACGCTTTCACTCACGTCACGACGCTTGAGAGCTTGGCGGCGACGACGGCGATCTCAGAGTCCGGCGATCCGGCGACTCTCAGTCTGGGTCCTCTTCACGAAGGGATACAAGAAGCAATCGTGTTGCGTCTGCTCCTTGTCTCATCCCACTCATCTTCTCATCGCATTCATCTCGACGCACTCCAGCTCTTACTCGTTACTCTTCACTCTCATCTCGCCACGACATCGCAGTGCTCTTGTCTCCCGTGCACTTTCAACGTCCTCAACGAGACCTCCAGAACCACATCATCCATCACTCTCCTCGCGCCACCCTCTGTGTCCTCCCCTCACTCCCATCAACCCCCGCACACACCGCACCCACGGTCGTCACTGTCACAGAACAAAGCACAGTGCCCACTGCTTCCACCTCCCCACAGCCCCACTCGCCACTCGCACACTCGCCGCCAACACACTCCGATCGAGTCACACGAGTCACCCCGCTCAGCGACACATAAAGCATCACTCTCACAATCAAGCGTTGCTCAAATGTCCCTCCTCCGTCTTCGACTTGCCGCTCCTCCACCTAGTAAGCGAACTCCTTCTCTCGCTCCGTCCTCTGCACTCCACGCCCAGTCGAGCTCACCCCAGCCATGGACTACCTCACAGTCTTCGCCACTCGCAGCCTCGTCCTCTTCCCCCGCAGCAGCAGCACCGCCACACCCGTCCCTCCCGCCAACCACCAGCGCACGCTCTCCCCTCACCCCGTAGAGATGCCCCTGTACGCGCTCATGCGCGACGACACACACTGTGCATGGTACCTCGTTGACCGTGTTCTCGAGGCGCCCCGTGCCGCTGGGGGCGTTGCTCGTGAGCTTGAGATGGAGGCAGAGGTGCTGGTCTGGGAGCAGATTGACCGTGCCAAGATGTTTGGCCGTGCCCTGGCCCTGTTGTTCGGTAGCTCGAGCAACGTGAGCGAGGAAGAGTTGCGCGAGCTCGCCGCCAAGCATGGTCTAGGGCTCGCGGTGCCGTCCGGCGGTCTCCTCCCAGTTGTCCAGCGGCACTATCGGGAAGAGGCCGCACCCATCCTCGCCTGAAGGTGATCCGTCTCTGTCTCGCTCCCGCGTCCATCTTAGCCGCCCAGGCCGCCCATATCTGCTCGATCAGTCCTTCCTACCCAGATCACCCACGCGATACCCCAGTCCAAGCGCACCATGTGACCCTACTCGCAGCCACTACAACACCAACTGAGCTCGAGTAAACACCCGAGCCATGCTCTGGTCACCCTCGATGCCCCATGATACCCTCGGTTTCCCTCCAGTTGACACGACCGCAACCACTGTATCCCTTTGTCCATAGCAATGCATGTTTGTTGGGTTCCAGATGCGGAATGATTAGGCGTGCTGGCGTCGTGGCATGCGTGGCGTGTGGCGGTGTGGCACGTGAGTCTGGAGGATTGACTGCTGTGCTGGTATCTTCACCAACCGCCTTACGCGCTTACGCCTTGTCGCCTTATCACTAATTGCGAGATACAAGCATTCCTTGTCTTCTCGCGAGCAGTAACAAGTAGAGATCGGACGCACGGTTCACTCGTGAGGTCCTGTCCAGACATGCTTTGGATGTCTCGAGTGTGTCGTAGTAGTATCCTAGTCTCAGGCAACCGAAAGATATCCTCAATCGTGGCCAATCCACATCCAACCCCCAGTGGCAGCTGTCGGACTCCATGGCAATACATTCACTCTCACGTCACTCCTTAGGAGGTTACACTCACAGCCTTTCCCCTCTATCCTGCCCATACTCATCCTCCCCATATCCTACGAACCACTTGCAACGCACATCGACCAAATGGATACTCTGGTAGACACGTGACCCGGACACCCCCCCCCCATCTCCGCACCTCCACTCCGTCATAAGAATCTGGCGCTAAACATTCACACCACCCCATCCATCCACCATGCCAGACAACTTTGAGGCCGGTGCGTCGCTGCGTGTGCTCGCTGACCCCAGAACTGCCGGACGAGGTCCACGCGCTGCTTGCGACTGGTGAGTGTGGGAGGAACATGGCGGCGAGGGAGGCGGAGGCTGGGGCAGGGCCGGAGCGGGAGGCAAGAGCAGAGCAGAGCAGGAGCAGGAGGCAGGCAGTATGAGGCAGGATGTTGCGTGATGCGGCGGAGTGAGGCTATGGGACGGATGCGGGTGGATGGATGGATGGCGGAGGATGGGCGGAGGGCGGAGGATGGCCGGTAGCGCGAGCACGGACGGGTGACTGCCGCCGCCCGTGCTGTTCATACTGCTCTACGGCTCTGGTCCACAGTTACCAGGCGTCCGGCGCCGCTTTCTCGACCCATCCCGTGATCGAGTCTGACGCCAGCCGACAAGGACCGCGAGATCCGTCTCAACCGCGTCGCGGCCGCCGAGAACCAGAAGTTCCTCGAGCTCGTCCGGTCCAAGGTCAAGGACGTGCCCCTCTTCTGGGCTGTCACCCTTGTGAGTTTCGGGTTGTGAAGCCACCTTGTCTTGACATGGAGGCAGGTTGTGGCCCTCTCACTTTTCTGTAGTGGGCTTCATGCTGCTTCGCGCAGTCTCCCACCTCTCTTCTCCTTCCACCGCAGCGTCTCCTACACCCCTTGACTGCGCCATTTCTCCTATTCATCAGTTTCGCGGGCAGTCCTCCCCCTCCTGTCTCTCCTCACTTTGCCCACTCCGCCCTCCTCACGGCCCACTCCGCCTCGCCGCGCTCTGACACTTATGCCAGCTCTCACACCCCGAGATCGGACACGCGGCATCGACCACCAGCGACAAGGATGCTCTCAAGTACCTCACGGACGTGGAGCACATCCAGGACGTGAACGACCCGCGCGAGTTTGAGATTGTTTTCGTGAGTGCTCAGTCGCGGTCTTGGCAGCACAACTGACTCCAGCACTTCAAGGAGAACCCGTTCTTCACCAACACCGAGCTCCGCAAGAAGTACTCGCTTCCGGCAGGTACCAAGCCCGCGCCCGCCGACGGCAGCATCACGGACGAGATGCGCGCCTTTGAGGCCGGGGACCTCGAGCCAAGCGTGCGTGCCTCGAAGTGAGAGAGGGCAAATGCTGATGCTATCCGTCTTTGCGCACTACCTGACCAAACTGCCTGCACCCCCACCCCCACCCCCACCCCAACAGTCCATGACCATCGACTGGAAGGAGGGCAACAACCTCGTGGCCAAGCACCCCCGCAAGCTCGGCGAGGACGAGGACGAGATCAACGGCGACATCGGCTCGTTCTTCCACTTCTTCACTGAGAAGGCCGACATCCTGAGCCTCGGCACCACGATCGCCGACGTGCTCGCCGAGCCGCTCGAGTTCTTCTCGAGCGACCCTGCGGGCTTTGACTCGGACTTTGACGAGGAGGACGACGAGGAGGAGGGCTCGATCGACCTCGGCGACGACGACGAGGAGGACCAGCCGCAGCGCAAGAAGCAGAAGAACGAGTAGGCGGCGGGAGAAAGGGCGGCAGCTTGAGCCTGCTGCCTGCGATTCGATGGGCGCTGTGCACAAGTGTCAGCCGTTGAGCTGTTCGTTCAGTGTCCCTATTTGTCTAGTTTACTTTCATATCTTTAGAAGATGAATGCTTCTGCTTGTTTTACGAAGAGGCCTCGAGGCCTTGAGCTTAAGGCGGAGGCAAAAGTCGCGTCGGCGACCTTGGTGAGCCTGATCGGCCCCCGGCGACGTGTCGGAATGCAAATTGCCGTCCTTTCCGTCTCACCTTGTCACGATGCGGCGAGCACGACCACGACACGGGCGATGCGCATCGCCTGCGCGGCCTGCGCCTGCGCGCGCGCGCTCCGCCCTCGCCCTCGCCCTCCTCCCCTTGCTCGCGGCGCTGCTCCTCGCCCTCCCCTCCTCCGCTTTCTCCCTCCGCCCGCCACACGACACCCGCACATTGTCAGACGCACAAGTGTCAGCGCTGCTCAACCTGCCCCCCGAACCATGGAAAGCAGTGGACGCGGGGCACATGGAACACCTCCTCGTCGAGCGCGTGTGTAAGTATGCACCCCCGCCTTGGCTAACCACAGCGGGCACGCCGGGCAACAAAAAGGTCCAGAACTACCTCTCCTCCGTATTCACCAAGCTCGGGTGGCACGTCGAGACGGACACGTTCAGCGCGTCTACGCCGCACGGCGAGGTGGAATTCACGAATCTCATCTACACGTTCGACGCGGCGGCGCCGCGCAAGCTCGTGCTCGCGGCGCACTTTGACTCGAAGTGGTTCGCCGAGGGCGGCTTCATCGGGGCGACGGACAGCGCCGCGCCCGTCGCCTTCCTCCTCGACACGGCCGAGGCGCTCACCCCGCTCCTGTCTGCGCGGCGCGCGCGCGTCGCCGCCGGCGCGCCGCTGCTCACCGCGCACCTCGACGAAGGCGAGGCGGCGGAGACGAGCCTCCAAATCGTGCTCTTCGACGGCGAAGAGGCGTTCCAAGCATGGACCGCCACGGACTCGGTGTACGGCTCGCGCCACCTCGCGGCCAAGTGGGAGACGACGTATCTCGCCCCCGAGCTCCAGCGGCGCCGGCAGAGCCCGACGCCGACGGTGCTCGACGGGATCGACGTGCTCGTCCTCCTCGACTTGTTGGGCGCGCCGAACCCGGCTTTGCAGTCGCATTACCGCGGCACAGACTGGCTGTTCGACGCGCTCGCGAGCGCCGACGCGCGCGTGCGCCCCCTCACGAACAGCTCGGGCGAGTGGTTCGCCGCGCAGCGCGGCTGGGGCGGCGGGATCGACGACGACCACCGCCCGTTCCTCACACGCGGCGTGCCTGTGCTCCACCTCATCGCGAACCCGTTCCCGGAGGTGTGGCATCGCATGGCGGACAATAAGGACGCACTCGACCTCGAGACGTGCCGCAGGTGGTGTGCTGTCATGCGCGTGTTTGTGGCCGAGTACCTCCACCTCGCGCCGGATGATGGGGTAGTGCGGCGCGAGGACCGCAGCGAGGAGCCGCAGGGACGAGCTGGTGAGTCCGCGTCGCGGGGGCCGTTGACCCCAGTGAGCGACTTGTAGAGCTAGCCGCATAGAGTAGGTCATATCATGTACATTTGGCGATGGGGCGAGCGGGGGAGGGCGACGAGAATGAGAGTGCTCTGACTGCTATGTGAATGGCGTGGCTGAGGACGACGCAAGGAGGCAGGCAGCTCATGCCTCTCAGATCCTCCCCGCTCCTCCGCACGCGCCGACGCCTTCCGCTTGGCCGCCGCCTTCCGCCACGCTTCATTGCCACAAAGCGCGCCATACCGGTTGACTGCTGACAACCTCTCTCCCAAGGCCAGTACCACGGCGGTGCTGGCCCTACCTCCCTTCACTCGCTCTCCTTCACCTGCTCTCGTTCACCTCCAGACCCACTGCTCCTCACGCTCCCCACCCTTTCGACCCCACCCCCCCGGCCTTTTCTAGACGATGCATTTCTACCCGGCCTCGAGCGCTTCGAGGCCGATGGCGTGGTCGTCCTCCACGCCAGCCACTAATGTTGTCGTCCGATTACTCCTCCTCCTCGATGTACTTGTGGCGGATGTCCTTCCACAGCTTCTGCAGGGGTTAGCAGTGAACACGTGCGAGGAAAGCGAGGAGGGTGGTTAACGTTGGGAGAGCTAGTAATCTACACGACCTTTCTTGCCGCCTGGCCGCCTAATCCCTTAACACCAGGCGTGCCGGTGCATCATCAGCCTGCACCACTGCACCCAAGCACACGCCACCCTCCCCGACGCAATCTCAACTCACGCCCTTGTTGTGCTTGTCCCACCAAGCCGAGGTGACGGTGTCGTACGACAGGGAGAAGGCAAAGGCCGACGCGAAGACGGCGGGGACCATGACCGAGTTACGGCGGAAGAGCACGTTGTAGATGGCGTTGGACTGTTGGTGGGAAAGAAGTGGGGTGGGGGTCGAGCGCGAGCGCGAGCGCGAGCGCGGGCGAGTCGGAGTGAGGAGGCAGGACGGAGGAAGGTGGAGAGGTGGGGGCGAGGTGGACAGTTGATTGGTAACAGTCGTCACGTATCGCACGGGCGCGGAGTGGACGCGATGCGGGATGGAAGTGGATGTGTCGGACAGGATCGGGGTGGGGGTGGGGGCGCGGGTAAGCGATGAGGGCAAGTGTCAG